GGCGCTGGCGGCGCTGGGCGCGCGGGCCGAGGCGCTGTCGCCCGGCGCGCGGCCCGGCGCGCTGGAGGAGGAGATCGTGTCCGAGAAGGCGGCCGAGGCGAGCCACCGGCAGGACAGCGCCAACCTGCTCATCTTCATCCTGCTGCTCACCCTCACCATCCTCACCATCTGGCTGTTCAAGCACCGCCGCGCGCGCTTCCTGCACGAGACCGGCCTGGCCATGATCTACGGTGAGTGGCGACGCTGCCCGCGCCCCGGCGCGCCGGCTGCCGCCCGGGCCGCGCGGAGCCGCCTCCTGCCGGCGCGCCTTGCGCGGTCGCGGCTCTCCGTGATCCCGGGAAGGCGCTCTCGGGGCCCTCCCTCGAGACGCTGGGCGTGAGCCTGGACGCGCTGCGCGCAACCGGGCTCCTGCTCGCCGCCCCCGCTCGGGCCAGGCGTGCGTTCAGCGGCACCCTGCTCCAGAGAAGGCCCCCTCCGAGGTCCGCAGCGCCCCGTCTTGGCATCCCCCATTCAGCTTTGCAAGCACCGTGTCGCTCCCCCGCCCCGCCGGGTATATGCCGCTGTGCATCTGACTGAGTGCCTCCGAAAGCCTGAACAAAAACACATTTATTAGTCGAGCTACCACGTCCCCATTGTGGTTTACTCACATGCAGAAGCCCCGGATCAACTTTGATGCTCTTCTGTGAGCTTTGCAGACAAGATGTTTTGCAGGCTGGAAGGATCTTTGGTCCTTTCTAAGAGTGTTTATCTGCCATTCTTATCCACCCTTTCCTCCAAAGACAAACATCCACCCATTTGCAGAACTGTCCTCTACTTACCTGTCATTCAGCCAATGTTGCAAAATTTACAGCCTGCTCCTGTGGGCAGGCACCTAGAAACAAGCCCGCTGAATTTGTGCGGCTGACTATGAAAATTGCAGCTGTAATTTATATTAGAACCATTGTCTCAATTAACCTCACCAGCAATCACATTGTGTACCTTCTTCAGTCTCATTTTATAATTGGGAAACAGAGATGGTAAGAGTGCAGCTAGCTGGAGACCATCTTGTAGGTGTGTGGGTGGACAGGTGTTTACATCCAGGTCTCCAGACAAGATTCCAAACATGGGATGGCAGCAAGCATTCTCTTGTCAGCACAGAAATCCCTTGGTTTTGGCAGAGCCCGTAATGTATGATCACAGCCTGGGGTTGGCTCATGTGCTCTGCGAGTACTAACCTGCTTTTCTTTCCAGTAGTAGTAGTAGTAGAAGAAGAATTCTTCTTCCTTTCCTTCTTGAGGACTAAAAGGAAATTTCCAGCGGTTCCCTCTTTACGGCATGAGTTAGCATTTCTGTCTCTTAGGAGGGTGGTGATAAGGTTGGTGTTGGGACATTTGAGAGCATAATTTCTCTTCAGGGAGAAAGCTGATTGCACACCAAAATCAAGCTAAAGCTGCAAGAAGTTTACATTACTTGGACTGGCTGGTCTTGGACTTGAAGTAATGAGGGTTAGTGTGGCTGAGTTGCGCTATTACAAACTTGCTAACTTGGCAAGCAACCCTCAAATCCTGGTTATAAAGAACAGTCAGGTTGGTACCTACTGCATGGACCCAGTGAATTGGGGTTTGGTTGCAGGAGAGCTAGATGCAGAATATGCCATCAGCCTCCAAGTCTGGGGGGATGGTGTACCCCTCAGACTGATCTGGGAGTCGTTGTGCTAGGCTGTCGTACAGAAGCAGAAAGAACCTTGTGGTCCCTTAAGGGCTAATCCGTCCCACAGCAAAGCTGCTTATCATCCGGGTGTCGCAAGACTGTCCGTCTAAGTTCCCTTTGGGAGTGGGGTTCCTTTTATTTGTTTCAAGCAACAGACAGTTGCTTGACAGATCTTTCTATCCAATCCACAGCTAGTCAATTGGAGTCACTATATACAAATCAGGACAAGTCTCTGTGCACAAACAAAGTTGTTTGTTGAACCCAAACAAGAAACTACTTCTGGAAAGCCCTCTTTTCCAGTAAGCCTCTAGATCTATGCAGGGCCCTTAACTGGGTAGTCCTTTTAGCCTGATCATGGGATCAGGGACCAGACTAGGCCCGTCTTCCTCCTCTGCCTTGTCGCCTCCCTTTACTTCCAGACCCTGCCTGTTCCCACTGTGGAGGGCAGCCTTGAGATAACCTCTTCCATCTCCATCCCAAACTCCCTGTTTCCCAGCTGTCCAAGCCCTCATCCTAAGAGTCGGAGCAACCCTGACCCTGGAAAGTGTGCCAAGAATAATATGCCAAGAAGTGTGCCAAGCCATAGGGTTGCTAGCAAGGTGAATTAAAATTACTTTTTTAAGAAAGTGGAGAAAGCATCCAGTTACAGCAGAAGGATTATGGTGAGAGACAGGTGAGTGCCTGTCTGTGTCCACATACGCTGCACAATGGTGGCTCTTCCATTATCTTCAGTTCATTAGATCAGACTTCTGCATAATTCCAGGTATGCTGAACCACAGCTCCTATCATCACCAGCCCATCTGGGCACCTGGTTGCAGAAGGCTGGAGCAGAGTGTTGTACCCCTGTCCGGAGAACTTTTTGTTAGGAATGTGGTAAGTTGGGGTAGCCCATCATCTGCTTAGCCCTATATGTTCCAACTCTGGCAGGTAGCAACTCTCCAGGGCTGCACTGAGAGTTGTTTTTTCACCCTACCTGGAAATCCCCTACCTGGGATTGGCAGGTTTTGGTGTTGCTGCTGAATATTTAGGTATTAATTTGTGTCACTTTCACTTGATGTTCCAGGTTTTTCCAAGAAGTAAAATGAAGTTTGTATGTAGGTGCAGCTAAACTTTGCATCAAAACCACCCATTCCTGTACTGATTTAAAAAATTGTAACCTACCTTTTGATACTAAGAAGGGCCTGCAAGGCAGTGTACAAAATAAAACATTAGAACAAATGTAAATAATAAACCAGTTTAAAAACAGTTAATTTATACCCAGGGAAAACAGTGCCAACAAGTTCAATCTCTTTGATCATGTTCATGGCTGGAAGTGTAGGAAAAGTTGTACGGTACCAAAGATTCATTGCTGCTCTTTTGTCCATCCATAAGCCAATGGGAGTGGCCCAAGTATATGTAGGAAGCCCCAGTGGGGAAACCCATGACCACCAGAATTTCTGTCCAAAACCCTTTTAATTGTTTGTAGCCTTCAAGAAGAGCCCCCTGTGAATTTCCCCTCCACAGCAGCAAAGGTTGCAAGCCAGTGTCTTTGTGACTGCAAATGTTTTCAGAAGGCGGACACCTCCTGATCTGGTGCCGCTACAGTGCACCGAGCATCATTGTCCATGCTGGCAAGGTGCAGAATATTTTTGTGAACAAGGTGCTCTTAGGCCCCATGCAACAACGGAACTACCAGAGTCCTGCTTCATGCCCTTTCCTTGGTGAGGGGAACGCAGCAGTTCTGCCTGTGGTTTTGGGGCACAGAGTCGGGCCTTTGCCATGGAAACTTCCTTAGCTGGAAGCCAGGTCTTCAGAGACACTTCTGACCTGTTCAAATTTGCATGGGGGCTGCTGGAATCAAACAGTTGAGCCACACTGTGGATGAATCAGAGGGACTCTCTGGCAAATCAGTGCCATCAAGTGGAATTCTAGCCTGTGGGAAAGATTTGAATAGGAGAAGCAAAGCAGGAAGCGCTTCAGAAAGCAAATGCTGAAACGTGCTGCTTGCTGTTATTTTGCATGTGGAAGGCAGGCTTGTGCGCTGAGAGCACTGGTGTTGGATCTCCCATGATGGTTGAACGAGTGCGTTCTTTCCTGCAGCAAGGAAGCGGATGCCTCTGGGATGCTGGTGGGAAGGCTGAGCCTGCCGCTTCCTGGAAAACATGCCTCAGAATCTTAAACCCTGGCCCTTTTCTGACCGCTGTAAAGGAGTCCAAAGTTCTGCACTCTTGCACACTCTCTTGCACACCCTTTAACTCCCCCTCCCTTCTGCCTCCTAGTAGATCTGCTACCTAGGAAAACAGATCTTTGTGGGTATAAATCGCGCAATTACCTTGGTCTTGCCTGAGTGTTGTTCTAGCTATTTTAATGATGCCTAGAGTGGCACAGAGCCGCAGTCCAGTCCTAGCGCCTGACAATCAGTGTTTCCCTCTGCTCTACTTTTCTCCTAAATCACATGTGAGCTGTGTGCACGCATCCATCGCTCTCTTGCTGGTGCATGGTCCTGCACCCATGAAAAGGGCTCTTGTTTCCAAGGTCCTGAAAATGTGCAGCTTTGAACTCACAGTGCCTCTCCGTTATGCTTGCTCTGTGTTTCTTCCAGTGTATAGAGGCAAAGTACATACCAGTTGTGGAGGAACATGTGCTGGAGGGAGCATGCATTAGAGCACTCATGTGCTTCTCATGGGTCTCCCACTGGGGCAGTGAGTTCACCACATTCTGCCCAGAACACTTGGCTGGATGGACCTTTGCTCTGCTCTGGCATGGCTGTTCTTAACTTCTCAGTGCTTCAGCTGCAAAATCTGTGTGGTTTATTAAAGAGTAAACCAATGTGTAGACACCGTGATGTGTGTCACACGGCGCTCCAAGCCCCAGTGGACAATCAGCAATCACACATCCCGTTTACACATTTTGAAAGGATGTTATACGCAAAGCGATTTGGGCATAAATTGCCAGGCTTAGTCTTGAACGCTACTTACAAACTGAGGCAGGAGCAAACCAGAAAAAAGCCTTGGAGGAGGATTAGCAGCAAGCTGCTGTGTTGGACAAGCAGTCGAGCTGCATGAATAAACACGATGGCTTGTTTCATCTCAGCCTCCAGTCCATCAGCGTGGTCTGTGGACAGTGCAGAGCTCTTAGCCGGGCCTGGTTTTCTGGTATGTCCGTTCAGATGAGAGGACCACTGTTTAGCAAGTTCCATTATGCCGAATGCCCAGCCAGGTGTGCTTAACTCCGCAGTTGCTCTCACTAACCGCGAGCATCCTTTCCAGGTGTCCTGGTGGGAGTCGTCCTGCGCTATGGCATCCACATCCCCAGCGACATCAGCAACGTGACCTTAAGCTGCCCAGTGCAGACAACCTCTGCAACTTTGTTGGTGAACCTCAGTGGAAAGTTCTATGAGTACACCCTAAAGGGGGAAATCAGCTCCCGCGAACCTCATAATGTTCAAGATAATGAGATGCTCCGAAAGGTGAGCTGGCTTTGGAGTTCCTTGCTGCATTAAAGGCACCTTTTCTCCGGGCAGGAACAGATGGGACTGACCTTGCTCTCCCCGCAGGCCCTAAAAACAGCAAGAAGCCCAGTTTGCTGGGCTTTCTCATGTTTCTCCTGATCTGGCCTGCTAAAGTCCCCCAAATTCCTTCCCAGGTTAGCTCGCCCATCCTCAAGGGACTTCGTATTGTCATATTATATTCGTATTGTCATAGTGTATTATATTTTAATTTATATAAAAATATTTTAATATTTTAATTGATGTTTTGTGAGCTGCCCCGAGGCTTCGGCGAATGGGGCGGCATAGAAATTTTCTAAATAAATAGTAAATATTCTTATCAGTTGCCAGCTGTAGTTTCCCACGAGGAAGCTTTTTCGTTGCCCTGTGTGTGCACAGGTGTACGTGCGCAAAGGTCAAATCTGTGCACAAATCATGTGCCCCAGTTCTTGTCTTTTCTGCCCAAACTGGGACAATCCATTTGGGAGAATCTTCATGCTCCCAGATTATAAAGGAGAAATTCCGGTTCTGCGAAGGTGCTGGGTGCCAAGATGTCATTCCAGTCTAGGTTTAAACTGCACTTAATCAAGCAGTGAACTTCATATGACATTTGTCCAGGCCTGACTGACCTGGGTTTCCTTTTTACCCCTCCAGGTGACATTTGATCCAGAAGTGTTCTTCAACATCTTACTCCCGCCAATCATATTTTATGCGGGATACAGCTTGAAAAGGGTATGCTCTTGTTCATTTTAAATCTCTGAATATCTCCAAAGTACATGCAACGTAGAAATGCCATGTCGCTGTAGATAGAAGCTGGAGGGCAAAAGCCGTAGGTAGAGAATGTCAGGAATCTTTTGTAGCTGCAAAATGTGCAGTCAATCTTGTGAGTGAAAAGAGGACATCGACACACCCAGATAAAGATTGTGTTATATGCAGCAATTGTGTATCCGTAGAACATGTGAACTGCTTCATTAAAAAAGCTTATGCCTGAGCTATAATTCTCCACCTTTTTTTCTTTTCAAGGAGGCTTACTTAATACTCCTCATTTTACTCTTAGCCTCCAACAACAACCCTGCAAGGTAGGTTGGGCTGAGAGTCAGAAAATCACCCGGTTGGCTCCATGACTGAGAGCCAGTGTGGTGCAGTGGTTAAGAGCACAGGACTGGGACTGAGGCGAACTGGGTTCGAGTCCCCGCTCAGCCATGGAGCCAACTGGGTGACTTTGGGCCAGTCACAGACTCTCAGCCCAACCTACCTCACAGGGTGGTTGTTGTGGGGATAAGTTCAATAGCAGCAGGGGGAGAATGCTGTAAGCCAATTTGAGTTCGTTGCAAGAACACAGTGGGATATAACGCTAATAAAATACATAAATAAACATGGTTGAGTGAGGACTAGAACCCAGATCACCTTGTGCTCTTAATCACTGCACCACACTGGCTCCCTAATGAGAATGAACAAAAATACAGTGCTTGAAATAAGGATGCTTGAATAATAAATGAGAGTGTGGACGGGGGGTGGCGGGATAGGAACTGACTTTGAACCGGATTATGAAGAAAGCAATCCTAAGACCCCAGACACTTCTGTGGCACAGATTAGATGCTGCAGACATCCTGGGCCTACAGACAGAGCTTCGGGCGTAGAGAAGGAGGCCTGGTCACCAGGGGGACCTTGCAAGAGAGGTTGGGAGGGGGAAAGGGGGTGTTTGGCAGGGGGGTAAGCCACTCCCTTCCTGTTCACCGAAAGGTAAGGTCCCTGGACAGGCTGAGAGTCTGGGCTGCATTTTAGTGGAGGAACGGAGGTGGAACTCCCTCTGTTTTCTTCTGTCCTGCTGGCTTTTGAACATCACAGCTAGGAATATACCAGGCCTAAACTGCTTTCCGTGTTGTCCACGCCCACACCTTTTCCTCTCCGACATCCATGCAGTCCTTGAATTAAATGCATGCTAGGAGAAGGGGCTGCGGGGGGGCATTTATCGTGTTTGGCACTCATGTAGCCATCCTGGTTGGGGTGCAGAGGTTGCAGCATGCGTGTGTAAGTGCAGGGGACCCCTTGCCCACCTCTCCCAGCCGAATCGCCCTGGTATCTCTTCCTCCCTCAGTGGTAGACAATCTAAATTAATGGGCACACTGCACATCTTGGAAGACATTTCAGGAATTGCCACTGGCTTTAGAATAATTGTGCCTAGAACCTTAAGGTAACCAAAGATGCTTTCTCCTTTTCTCTTTTTCTTCTAGCGGCATTTCTTCAGAAACCTGGGATCCATCCTGGCATATGCGTTTCTTGGAACGGTGATTTCCTGTTTAGTGATAGGGTGAGTGTCTTTGCTGTGCTTCTCTCAGGTTTTTCTGGAAACATTATCGATTGTACTTACTTGCTGCATTTCCAGACTGCCTAATAACTTTCTGGAGAGTTCAAGAAAGGAAGGTGGGAATCCTAATCACTATAAAATCTAAGGACATTCTGAATAAAGGCAAGCATACAAACAACCACCCATCACTCCTCATTCAGCAGGTGCACACAGGGAGGAAGATAACTTCAGGGTCTCTTCAGGGTCTCTTCAGGTGCCCTGCCTCAGAAGGAAGCGGGCAGCCACCAGGACCAAGCTGGCACTTCTTTAGATGTGACAGGCAGGAGAGGGAGAGGCATGCCAGCGGCTGCCCACACCCCGCCAGGTCCCTTAGCCGCATCCTTGATCTCAGAAAATAGAATCCATGTAAGAAAACTGGGCCGGGCGCTGCTCCGGCCACCTCCCTCAGAGGAACTCCATTGAATGTGGAGTCGCCCGTGCTGCCGGGTCTGAGGAACCCAATTTTCAAAACGCTTGGCAGGCTTGTCCCAGCTGCCGTGCCACCAAGGGTCCCACTGCGTCTCTCTTGGGGCGAGGCGGCAGAAGGCTGCTGACCACCCGTGCTGCCTGACTCCACCCGCCCAACGTGGAGCGTTCGTTTCTTCATCTATCAAAAACGTTTCTATCCCGTCCTTCGCCAAAGTCTCAGGATGGCACGGCAACAGTAAAGCACGGCCTCAAGCAATAAATAAAAACCCGTTTTCAAAACAACTCTATTTATTTCTATACTGTCCATCAGCCACAGAGGTACTCTGGACGGGTCACAGCGTTAAAGTATTCGCCCAACAAGACCGTACTCCACAATATCTAATAATAGCATGTAAAATCAAACAGAAATAATACTTCAGATAAAATGACAACAATAAACCCACAGCAACTGCAAGGAATAACAGCAGTACAAGATTTAAAAACAATGTCAAAGATGAGGATGAAAAGTTGGCCATTAAAATTCTGGGAAAATTAAAAGGTTTTTACCTGGTGCCAAAAGGAATAAAGAGTAGGTGCCAGGCACACTTCTTCGGGAAGCTGGTTCCATTATCGGGGTGCCACAACCGAAAAGGCCCTTCCCTTTGTAGCCACCCCTTTGCTTCCTTAGAGGGAAGGTGGCCCTCACACCAACAGGATGCCAAGCGAAGGGAGTGGAGCCCCACAGCACACAGGAATCCCTCTGCCCCAGTTTGCCAGGTTGTCCGAGTGGGTCCTGGAAGCAAAGGTGCAGAAGCGCAGCCCCTTCGGTGTCTCCTCAGCAGGTAGTTCCACAAGTCCGGCCGGCTGCCTTCCAGGTCAGTTACCTGGCTTGCACCCCGACTATTCCTGAGGACTGGGGGCTTGTGCTGTGGCAGGGATCAGAAGTCAGGGGCTGTAAGCAACCGCGCAGGTGAAACGTTCTGATTCGGATTAGCATTGTCCTTGATGAGACTGTGAACTTCCCTGCTGGCTCCCCAGATCCATCATGTACAGCTGTGTTGCGCTGATGAAAGTCATGGGACAACTGGGAGGAGACTTCTACTTCACGGATTGCCTGCTTTTCGGAGCCATCGCCTCAGCGACTGATCCAGGTACCTTTTAGACAGTTCCCCTTTGGAAGAAGGTGCATTTCGGATCCCAGCTTGTTTTCTGCTGTGTGAACAGAAGGCTGGACTGTTTGGAGCATGGCCTGGCCCAGCAGGGTCCTTCTTTCTTATAACTGGGCTCCCATGGCCTCTCGTCCCCACGTGGACCACCAGCCCGCTTCCCTGTGCCCACGCGGCAGACCCTGCTCCTCCCAGTCCTCTCCTGGCTTTGATGAGGACCCCATTTCTCTCAGCATTTTACCTGAGATCTTTCGCTCCTGAGGAGTGTGCACATGGGCTAATTTTGTAGTCACCTCTTGCCCCTTAGTCCCACGGGAGAGGAAAGCGGGGGCAAGAGAAGCAGGTGCTGCAAAAGGGGCGTTACCTGCAACTGAGCAAGGTAACCCTCTCATGGTTCGGCTTTGAGCTGACCCTCATCACAGTCCTGTTTGCAGTCAGAGCCTCCTGCATCCCCAGCAAGTCCAGAAAAAGGGATGGACATTCCCACCCCTCTTTATGTGGCTCCTTTCAGAGCAGTTACTTGAGTTACGCACAGTTCTCCTGCTGCTGTTAAGCCTCTGCACTGGCACCAGTTACTTCTCTGCATTTACCTCCCTGCCTTTAAACTAGTAGAGAAAGCTGTGGCCATTTTGATAGATAGATAGATAGATCGATCGATCGATCGATCTCTTGGCCAATGGCAGTTAATTGCTGCAAAAGAGAGCTGCAGAAAACAGGAGTGAGGGAGCCACCCCCACCCCGCTTTCTGGGTTTGCTGGAGACTTGAGAAAGTGCTTAATGGAGTAGTCTGCACCCCACCCACAAAAAGCACCTCTCTGTCCCCACTTCTCCTCTCCCTTAGTATGACTTTTCATCTAGTCCTGCACCAATCTGCCTAGATGCACTCGGCCTTTGTTGATTTTCTTTCCCTTTTCTACTCCATGTCCTTCCTTTTAACAAGTGAAACTTGGCAAGAACATAAAAACGGGTGACACAAGAACATAAGAAGTGAAACTTACAAGAACATAACTGCAGGCAAGGCGGCATTTATTGGAGAGCCCTGAGTGTGCACTTGCAAAAGACTGACAGTAATTGCAAAGAATTACAAAGACATTCACGCAATTTTGTGTGACTAATTTTTTTTTCAGGGGTGGCAAACAAGCAACTGTCCCCCCAACGTTTTGGTGTCAGTGGAGGAGCAGTCCCCATGGAAGGAGGTGGCATGGGTGAAATTGCTAAAGCAGTTGGTTTGGTTAGCTTCTCTTGCGAAGTGTCTCTGTATTGAATCTCAGCAGCCCACGATAAAATGGCTCTCCTGGGTTGGGACAAGACAACCCATCGTGGGTTCATGAGCCCACGGTCCGCAAGGCTGGCATGTCTCCAGGATTCCGCTCCGCTGTGGAAAGCCCAGGGCTAGGAAATCTGCCGCTGCTGGCTGCCCAAGCTGAGTTGCCACCTTGCCTGTCTTTGTGCCTCCAGCTTTCTGCCATTGCTGGCACAAATTCTTTTTTAAAACGATAAACCTATGAGAATTGTGAAGTGTGTGTTAATGAGACACAACCCGAGTCGCAAAACTTAGGTCTCCAATTAATACTGAAAAGTCCTTTAAAGAGAAGTTGCTTAAAGGCCCTTCGGCTTGTGGTGGACTTGGAACAGGTGAGGAAGTTGAGGTGGGGCTGTGCAGAGCATTCCATTCTTCGTGGGTTGGGTGCTGGCTTTTATTGATAACAAAGAGAACTTTTGGGCTATTCTTGGTAACCAATGGGACGTGTGTGTTTTCATTTTGTATACACTTTGACACAGACCTGGGACAGAGGAGCATCTGTCTGCATGACCTGTGTTTAAAAATCCGTGGATTCAGTGTGTAAAATAAGCCTATCTGAGAGCACATCTTGAATTTATTGCATTGATATATAAACTAACAAGAAGGGCATGGACTTGATGTAATGTGCCATTAAACACTGGGCAGAAAACAGCTTTTTGAGGGCACATTACCTTGAGCATCTTCTTGGGAATAAGTGCTTCAGGCGTGCATTTGTACAAGTGATACAAAAACACTGAACTTTTGGGGGGTAAAAAACCAGTGATCTTTAAGCCTCCAAAGCCTCACTAAGAAAACTGTCTTTGCAACAAATCTATGAATTAAAGAGTTATTCGTCTGTTTGGGGAGTCTTGCTTTTTCCTAAGAAAGTCACTAAATGATACAGTGAAAAGCTGTTACGGCATCATGGTGTGAGCTGTGAAGTGGGAAACTTCTGGTTCGAATCTTTGCAGCCAGAAACACAGTGGATGGCCAGAGCTACTGTGGAGTCATGCTGGTATTAAGCAAACCTGGGTTCAAATCACCATGTTTTCTGCAGATGTATATGAGCAAGATAGTTAATGGAGATAAAGTTGGGAGGCGGAAGGGTGGAGTATGGATGCAGTGTCTCCATGCCTGCAATGCTGATACAGTAATACTGGCCTCTCTACCTTGCAGTGTTGTTGCAAAGATCGCTGAGATAATGTGTGTGAATTAGGTATATGATGGAGGTGGGGAAGCTGGAAAACGAGAGGAAAGGAAGGTTCTCTTGTGAAATGTAGGTCAGCTGTCTTGTAATGTGGCTAACAGCACAGAATCCGAGTAGGAGGGGCTTTATTTTTTGAGCCACCTTCTAAACCTTCCTTGGCTCTTCTTGTTTCTCTTGCCCAGTGACTGTGCTCGCCATCTTCCATGAGCTCCAGGTCGATGTTGAACTCTATGCCCTCCTTTTTGGGGAAAGCGTCCTCAACGACGCCATTGCCATCGTTCTGTCCTCGTAAGTGAGCTGCCTTTCCTCCCAGCCCTGCCCAGGAACCCCTTAAATCCGGATCTAGCCAGAAACATCCAGTCCATACATGCCTGTGCCAGGAGGGAGCCTGGGAAAATAACCCATTTGCACAAGGCCATCCGTGGCAGGTTCTGAGTCAGGGAACCTTCCTGGCCTGCAGCAAATTGTCCTGAGAATCCTCACCTACCTTCCGCCTGCCCCACTCACTATGTAAGTCGCCATTTGCTCTTAATAAGTGGCGGGGAGCCACCCACCACCGGATGAGGAGCAGGGAATATGCCCCCCGGTGGACTGAGGGGCGAGTCAGTGCCGCCCTAACACCCTGTAGCAGGATGCAGCGCACGGTGGGCAGTCCTGGTGGAAGCCGCCCACCACTAAAGCCAAGAAATCAGGGCATGCCGCTTTGCCGGTCGCATTGCTGTACCCGGAGGACTCCGCGCATGCCTGTCTGGTCTGTGGTCCCATCCCTCCTTGTGGGGGCAGGTTTAGCACATGCAGGGCCATGCATGCTGACATGCTTAGCAGGCTTATTACAAAATGTGTTTCCCCAGATCCATTGTAGCTTACCAGCCAGCAGGAGACAACAGTCACACCTTTGACGTCACAGCCATGTTCAAATCCATTGGGATATTCCTGGGGATATTTAGTGGCTCATTCGCCATGGGAGCTGCGACGGGAGTCGTCACTGCTTTGATATCCTTGATGTGGCATTTAGCATGTTCTGTGTCCCTGGAAGCGTTGAACCTTGCCACTTTTACTTCCTGCAAGAGGAAGAAATCTTCGTGGTAAGGAATGGTTCGACGCACCACACAAGTTTTGAAGCTGCCCTTGAAAACCTTTTATAAAGTGCAGCAGCAAAAACTGATGTTTAAAGCGAGAGTGCAAGACTCGGTATTTGATTGACTAAAATGTCTGTATGTTCTTTCCAACAACAAAGCAGAGCTCAAAGCAGTTTAGAACGATAACAAAGCATCACAAACTGGCAACATTTTCTATCATTTGGCCTGTATTACCATAAAATCAGAAGCCCAGTATCAATAATGAAGGCATAAATAATTCAAGTAAAGAGATAAACCGGTCCAAAGATAATCCAAAAACAGCGTGTCACAACAATCAATAACATTTAATAAGCCTCAAAGCAGCAGTGCAACAATTGGGCAAATCTCAAAGCAAAAGTATTAAGCTGAGTTTCTGCAACCTGCTATAAAGAGTTTAGTTTGCCAGGTTTTCCTTTGCTTCATAGAGAAAGATGTCCTTGCAGTTTGAAAGATCATAATAATTGATGTGAGGAATTACTCATTTCGTTTTCTTTTTGGCTAAATGTTTTGATTCACATTGGAGTCTGCCTGTTTTCTTTCTTAACCATCCTGCCACGTTACCAAATTCACCAAACTCCGTGAGTTCCAACTGCTGGAAACTGGTCTATTTTTTTTGATGTCGTGGAGTACTTTTCTGCTGGCTGAAGCATGTGGTTTTACAGGTAGGCTGCATTATTTGTTGTTTAATCAACTTATATCCCCCAATTAACTTATCCAAGGACTCTCCATAGTGCCTCTGACTGTGTGTGTTGTACTTTGTGATGTTACATGGAATGTAGCATTTACTGACTACTTCAAGCCCTCAGTTTGGGTTTAGTGTGGGTGGCTGTTGAAACATGGATTATCATATAGTCTGATTCCAGCCAAGTTAACAAACCATGATGGACAACCAACCAGTAACAACCCATGAACAAACCATGGCTTGTTAGTGCAGCTGGGTTCAGACGACCTCATAACTCAACAATTCAACCACCTATGGTTCAACAACAGCCCACACTCAACCTTTGAGTGTGTTGTATGAACCCAGTTGGTGTGCTTGTGCGGACTAAGGGACCAAGGCCCAAAAATGGCTGATCAGTTTGAATCCATATGTGAGATGGAACCTTATATCTCACTGGTATCTTTAGGTTGCCACGCTGCAATGCTGGGTAGCCACCAAACAGCACGTAGTTGCCAGCGCAGTGGCAGATAGGTGTGAGTTACCAACACTATTTTTATGCATTTATTTTTTTAAATCCTAATGTCAGCTTTAGTGGTCTGTTGCCTCCCTTTTGCCTGCTTGCTGATACCCATTCCAATTCTATATGATGAAGAGTTCTGTGTAACTGAAAAGCTTGCATGTTTCAGTGTGGTTCTACATGTTGTTTGTAGAGAAACAGGCTGGGAGATTGCCTGAAACCTGTAGCTGGGTGTTGGGGTCTGCATGCCAGGGTTGTTTATTATTAGTATCATCAGTATCTTTCCCTTTTCCCAGGTGTCGTAGCAGTGTTGTTCTGTGGGATCACGCAAGCTCACTATACCTACAACAACTTATCTGTAGAATCTCAGCACAGAACCAAACAGGTGAGTTTTCTGTTCAGAAAGTTTACGTGTGACAACTTCGCCCTTCCCCAGGAGCCTCAAACAACCTTTTGCTTTGAGGAGGTCTGGCTAGTATTTTATCTCTGCAGTCACCATTTTCATGGATCCTTCAAAATACCAAGCACCCCAATTCTCAGGTGCATCAAGTAGATTTGTGCTTTTATTTTGCTGGAATCAGGGCAGAGGGGCTTAAAAATCCTTGCTTTATAAGATCTTTTAAAAAATGTATTTTAAAAACTTACCTGATCTATTATAATGTGAGTTATTGATTATTTTAAAAATTTGGTGATATCAGCTATGTGTTTGGTATTTCCAGAACGTGATGCACCAGTAACTGCAAACCAACTTTTTTCCCTGTTTGTGCTGGGAGAAATTCTGTGCCCACTTGTATTGTTTACGGACATATTTGGCAATTCCTGGAGAATTTGTAACAACTGTCAGAAACATCACTTTTTCCCTTTCCATCTGTTTTCCCTTACAGCTGTTTGAGCTGCTTAATTTCTTGGCTGAAAACTTCATCTTCTCCTACATGGGTCTTACACTGTTCACCTTCCAGAACCATGTATTCAATCTGACGTTTGTGGTGGGGGCTTTTGTATCCTTTGGCGCTGGCTCATGAGAGGAAGCCGTGCAACGCAGTCCTTTGATGCCGGTGGAAAAACAGCCTTAGCTATAAAAGATTCTTGCCTGTGCTCTTTGGGAGGACAGGTTGGAACAGCGGGGAAGAGATGAGGGACTTGAGTCTGAGAGAGACCCTGCATCCCGGTAGCAAGTCATTTCCCCTGAAGAAAGGGATTATTTCTTTTAGGGCTGCCGTGTCCTGCACAGTGAGGAAAGGTCTCTCAGTGTGGGGGCTGAGCCTGAATGTACGCACAGTTCCTTAAAAGTCTTCTTCGATTCTTTAGGGATTTTCACAACTAAGAATCCCAAGGAAAGCACAAGTATTTCTAAAATTGCTTCCCACCCACCTGTGTGCCAAGTATTAATGCTTGATGTACTACAGCAAGTCTTGCAAGCCGTTTGTGGCGTATGAAGGGCCCCAGTGCGCTGTTGAAAATGCTGGGAAGGAAATCTGGGGGAGAGCTGTGCAGGGTTGTTGTGTCACCTGTTTGGTCACCTGTTGAAGATGCTCCCCCCCCCCATTCGACCAGACACAATTTACTAGCCTAATCCAATTTAAAAAAAATAGTTATACCATTTTATTCTTTTAAAAATTATTATTCACAGCTTGAGAAACTGGTCAGTAGAGAGGAGGGTATGAACCTTGCAAATGAGTGGTGCAGTGGTTAAGAGTGTGGGACCGGGACTCAGGCGCCCTGGGTTCTAGTCCCCGCTCAGCCATGGAGCCAACTGGGTGTCTTTTGGCCAGTCGCAGACTCTCAGTCCAGCCTACCTCACAGGGTTGTTGTGGGGATAAGGTTAAGAGCAGCAGGAGAAGAATATAATGACAAAAGTGGGATATAAATCTAATAAATAAACAACAGAGCAGCTGTTTTGCTGCAGAATGGGGATAATGAAATTGTTAGTCTAGGATGTTCTAAATATGCTTCATTCTGCCATCCTACGTTTTGTGACTGGGATCAGTAAGACTTCCCCTCAACTGCACAAATATAGCTGCAGCTGCTGGGTGTCAGATCCTGATTCATGCGCATCTGTGGCAAGAGATAAAAGTCCTCAATGTCCCCTGATCCAGCTGGCGGTGTTCCTGGGCAGAGCTGCAAACATTTACCCGCTCTCTTTCCTGCTTAATTTGGGGAGAAGAAACAAGATTGGGACAAATTTTCAACACATGATGATGTTTGCTGGTGAGTAAGCATCAGCTGGTGCATCTCATGCTCAGCCTTCATGAAGGCTTTTCATAAGCACTTGCTACTTTCCTGGGAATGAAATGCAGCTGCATGAACGAAGGGACCCTGGCTGCGCGGGTGCTCTGTCAAGCGAACCTAAGACGCCTCAAGGACTTGAAGGCGGGGCAAGCGTGCCGGCCATTTAAGGATGACTGACAGAGTGTGTGTGAAACGTGCCAACGCTTTAAACTCTGTATCAGGGCCAAGTATTAATAACTGAAGTGATAAAATTAGCATTTGACCCTGTTTGGGGATTTCCCAGGTACTCTTGCAGTAAGTGCCTGTGGCGTTACAGGGCATGGGTTGCTCTTCAGCAGGTAGGGTATTTTAAACAGTCTGAGCGGTGCTGCCACAAATGGCAGAGCAGATGTGAGCACCTCTTAGAGAGAGGCCTCACCGGGTAGGGCTCGGTGGCCAGCCCGCACCTGCTGCAGGGGCAGAAACACAGCCTAGTCTGGCCTGATGCTGTCCTCTTTGGTCACATGGATCATGTCCCCAGGCTTCCGCCACTGAGGGCACAGGCTGGTGGCTGCCAGTTAGGCCGGGGTTCAGTGGCAGCACAGAGGGGAGGATGGAAGCCCTGCTGGGATTTGAGGAGGCCGGTGGCTCTGCAGCCCCTTCCCCTCGCTGTGCCTGCGCTTTCCCGTCCCTGATTGGACGGTTGGCTGCAGTTCTGCAAGTTCGGAGGGTCCTGGCAACTACCTCAGGTGGCTTGTTCACTGTTTGCTTTGTGGAATCAAATATGTGCCTGGGACAGAACATGTCTCCGTAATTTGTTGGTTTTGCCAGTGGCATCTGCCTACGTATGGTGTTTATACAAACGGGCAACTAGGACATGAAGCATGAAGGGGCATGACTGCCTCTCCAGGGCTGACTCCTACATTGCACAGGTTTGAGGACGGCGGCTTTATGCTGTGAAAGCTCCAGCCCCACAGCATTTGCTAGTCCTTAAGGTGCCACAAGATTCTCTGTTGTATTTGCGGCAGGTCTGTCCCTCTGCAGGTGCAACCTTGAAGAGTTGCTTCCAGTCCACAAACCTCCATGTGGCAAAATGCATGTGCAACAAGGCCGTTTTCAAAGTAGTTTGTAATATCATCTGGGAATGAAGGGCAGGGTGGTGTTGCCACATCGGAAGGAACAGAAAGAACACACACCGCTTGGGTCTTGTGCGTCCCGATCGAGTGAGTGGTTAAAGCGTGGTTCCCCTTCAGAACTCTCACTTCTCCAAGGTTTTCATTGCAGTTCACGCATCAAAAAGGTGCACAGAAATGTTTCTGCTATGGGCAACTGTGTAAAAAATGCGTACATACATGCATGAAAATAACTTACACAAATACATTATTTTATTTATTTATTTTATTTAAAACTTTTCTATACCATCCCATCACAGATGTCTCGGGATGGTTTTACAGCAACATTAATAGAATAAAAATAGAAGAAAAAGTAAGAGGCACAGCATCCAGTGCTCAGTGTAAAATCACAAATTAAAACAATTTAACAATTAAAATATTGGGCGAATAAAAAGGTTTTCACCTTTACAGTACATTATAGAACACAGGTGAAATTGCCGGCAAAGAGGCATATAGGAGAAATGAGAATGCATGCAGACCTTCGTATTGACATTAATGAAGTGCAGACAGACAGGGAAAGAGGATGGAGCACACTTAAAGATGGGGAATGGGACAGGCAGAAAGGAGCCGTCACTGGCGGATTCATGCACGTCCTGAGCTGTTGAGAGAACTGAAGTAGAACTTGGCCGGGACCACGAGCACAGGCCAGTGTTCCCACATGCCTTTCTCCCCAGGCCTTCGAGGAGCCATGGCCTTTGCCCTGGCCATTCGGGACACGGCCACCTACGCGCGGCAGATGATGTTCAGCACCACGCTTCTGATCGTGTTTTTCACCGTCTGGGTGTTCGGCGGAGGCACCACTGCCATGCTCTCGTGCCTGCACATCAGGTGGGTGAGGCAGTCTCCCTCTTCTTCATTCCGGAAGTGCGGTGTGCCGTGTGTCGCTCTGCAGGTGGGAAAGGAGGTCGCACCCGCGCCTGTGGGGTCCTCAGCAGCGCTGTTGCTGCTGCAAGCCACTTCCAAGAGCCACAGCCCTCCCTCAGTGACCACCTGTCCTTGGGGGATCCCTTCTGGGCTCCCCCTCTCCTGTGCTGCGCCTCTTTCCCCCACTCAGCGGTTGGCACTGACTGATGAGGTTCAGCGCCAGAAGCACTAGCAGAGGTCAGGATGCTTCTCCAGATGTTCTCAGCTGCAGCCTCCAAGGGGCAGGAAACAGGGTTGTGGAGGTTGTTCCACAGAGCTGTCAGCCCTTTTTATTTGCTTGTTAACGCTTTTCTATACTGTCCTCTACCAAAGGGTCTCAGGACGGTCTTACAGTTTACAGGCTTTTAGACCAGGTTCCAGGCTTTAAATCTTAAAACCGCACCACCAGTGGCAGGCTGGGCCCCAGTAAGTCCGCTGGGATGGTCGCCATGTACGAGAGTCCCTACAGGCGGGCTAGAAAGCGAAGCAGAGGAGCCCAATCTTCTTCCTCTACTCTTGCATTTGTGTCCGTTCATGACTGCGAAACGCACGGCACTTTTTTGGAGAAGGGCGATAATGCACGATCTGGCCAGGACGTCCTCTGCTGGTGAGATGCAGCCGCTTTGCCACTGGGGGTCACCTCAGCCGTATGCCTGGAGGACTGGAATAAAAACAGCAGCTGAACAGAATGAGGACTGGAGAAACTTAAACATGCTCGGTTTGAATCCCATATGCATTGACCTGGAGATCCGTCCTGTCCGTGCCAGGAGAACCAAACTGCATCCACTTCCAAGGGGGATGTCAGAATTTCCTTTCCGGTTTTCCTTTTTACGTGGAAGGTCAGCCCCCGTGTAAGCAAACGCACACACACATGCACACACACGTGCAATATTAGTGTGATACTTTGCTTGTGGTTTCCCCCCAGCTGCAAATTGGGCAGTGGAGGGAGAGGCTGAGATCCACAAGGCAGCTTGAATAAAAATTGATATGTGCTTTTGTCTGCAGGGTTGGTGTGGATGCCGACCAGGAGAACGTGGTAGGTCTCACCATTTTTCTTCTTCACTTGTGTGTTCTCTGTCCCTCTGCCTCACACGCACACACCCCTCTCCAGCCTTGGCATGGCATCCCCACACTTTTGTCAGTAAATTTAATCACTGCTTAATTTCTTACCCCTCTGCAGGCCTGGCACTGGAGAGGACTTACCTCATCTTGCATCTTGTAATGTTGCCGCTGCCCTGAGGCCGTGCATTGAGCCCCGTGGTTATGGAGGGACCTAAACACTGCCATGCATGCCCCTCCTGGTGTGCCAAAAATGGGGGCAAGCCAGCCCTCAGCAGGCCTCGGGGGTCTGGTGGATTGCCCCTGTGCCTCTGTTATCAGGTTGGAAAACTAAAACTAAATTGGGACGTCTTGGCCTCTAAAGCAGCCTTACTCAGCCTAGGGCCCTCTGGCAAAAGCAGACCAGAGGACAGCCCTCTGTTCCAAGTGAGGGTGAGCGGATCACCCTCTGCCCTCTGCTCTGTTCAGCTGAAGTGTTTCATGGCCTGAGACGAGAGGGGAACTGGCCCGTGTCACATTCAATTTCTATTTGCTGTTCATTAGGACAGAACTCAGCATCGACCTCAAGGGAGGGTGGCAAAACTCCAAGACTTCCACCCCGTGGCTGCTTCACGCACGTGCCGTGGTGTCTGCATTTCTCCTCTGGATATATGACTTCCTGCTGGCTGCTTTTGTCACCTGCTAGGTGCTAATTAAAAGCAGTTATGCATTCGTGTGCATGCTGCATTTTCAAAACTGAAATTTAAAGGCTTGCTAAAAAGAAAGGAAAGCATGGCAAAGATGAAAGCTTTCTCTTTTGAAAAGGAGCTGTGCATGTCATCGGAAAAATGAGCAATCCTTGCAACTTAATATTGAAGCAGATGCCACTGATGCCGGGCTTTGCCGCCAGCCCAATGCCTGGCAAACTGAGGCGAAAGCAAACAGAACAGTCATTGCGTTTTGTTCATTTCTTTCAGGGTGTGCCGGAAAATGAAAGGAGAAGCACCAAAGCTGAGAGTGCGTGGCTGTTTCGGCTGTGGTACAACTTCGACCACAAGTATCCTTAATGACATGCCTTCCGGCTGGCTGCCCTTGGCATGTCTGAGATTCCCGGCCCCTGGCCTGTGTGCCAGGCGCGTTTCAGCTGTGTTCCTTCTTGGTGGCCGGATTGCATTCTGCTTCCCAGATGCCTCTGCCGTTCAGCTGTGGATTCCTGTCTCTCTTGCCACCAGAGACACGCACAAGGAGCCGAGAAGTACAGTGATATGTGCCTTGTATTTGCGGTTGCTCAGGGGAACAGCCTGTTATTCCAGCTTCCTGGAAGCAGATGTATTCTCCAAGAGTACCATTTGCCACCCTGGCCAGTTTTCTCTCAGGAGGTCTGGCTGTGGAATAAAACTGACCCTTAGCAGTAGATATTTCAGAGCGGTAGAGCGAAAGCTGATAGAGAAACATTTTATTCAAGGGCAAAATCATCTTTTCCTCCTCCACCATGCCAGGAACTTTTGGAAAAGAAATTCCTTAAAGTGAGCGCAGGCAAAATGGCTTGCCATGCTTCATGGAAGTGTTTTTGCCACGCTGGTATGGGCCCGGTAAAAGTAGGGGCCTAGGAATCTGCCTCGCCTGGGATCACATCACGGCCGGCGTAGTGTTGGCTGCCAGTGTCTGGTGGGGACAACCCTGGTCAGAGTTTCAGACTGAATGTTTCCGAGCCCTGCTTGACGCCTGCACCCGGGACCTTCCGCACGCAGCGTGCCAGAGCCTGTGAGACTCCCGACTTGCTTCGCTCCCCCCAGACTCCTGTTTCCGTGGGCTTTTTGTTTGCAATATGCTGTCTGCCTGCCCACAGATTTAATAGAACATTTTTTTGCCTTGTTGCTAGTTTTTTAGTGTTCCTCTTATATGCGCGTTTGTTACTGCTTTCAGAATGCTTCCGTGATATTTTTATGACTCCATCGCATGCTTTTGTGTCAGGTTGGGTAAAGGTGGGATGGTGTAACTCAGTGACCTGCAAAAGCAGGGGGTTGCACCCATGGCCTTCACGGCCCCTTCCAACTCTACTCTTCTATGATTCCAGGTTGCATACCATTCCATTGGAAGAATGCAGTGTAAGCATTTTACTGTCCACAGATTTAACCAAAGGTCTGGGGCTTCTGTAAAAGCTCTGCTCAGAAAGTTTCATTCCTTAGCAAGCACCTCCCCCAGCTACCTGAAGCCTCTCCTAACTCACAGCGGCCCTCCTCTCACGACCACCCTCCCAAGCTGCTGTGGGCCCATCGCAAGGTGCTTGACAAGCCCCCAGGCGTACGAGGTGAGTGCCGCCCACTGTGGCAGTGGCCCCCCCAGCCCCCCTCGCAGCAACCCACTGTGAGTCGGTTGTCACGAGACCAGCCCACAGAGCTCCTTTCGGGGTCCCCAGGAGCCGCCAAGCCTGTGCCTCCCAGGAGCTGCTTGCTTCCCCACACCTTTCTCTGCTCCTTCTTGCCACTGTTTTTCTGAGGGGTGCTTTCTGCAGCCTTTGCTCACTGGTGCCACCCCCATAGCGGGATGGTCTTCTGGGTTTGGAGGACCAGCCAACCCACCATGGGTGGAACAAGCCCTACTACAGACCATGGTTTTTCAGCATGACTTGTTGACCAAACAAAGCAAAGAAACCACCCTGCCTGGGTTCAGACAACGCAACTATCAAGCTTGCTGACCCTGGTGGATTGTTGTCTCATGCTAATTATGTTTTTGCAGCTACTGAGGTTGGTCTTGAAAAGCTCTTGCAGTTAATTGAGGGGCTGAATCTCTTTAAACCAAGGGCCGGATTCTGTTTCTGAGAAGCTCTTGGGGGCTCATTCAAGTTCCAGGCAGGGCTGCAGACAAACACAATAGAGGTAGAATACCAGCAGATCTGCTGGGAGAGGTCATCTGGAGGTTTGGGAAGTCCGGAATCTTAGTGGGAAGTCCATCTGTCCAACTGGGGAATTTTCAACCTGTCCTGGATAGGGTTTGCAGCCTTAGAGAGCTCCTAGATCCCAAGCTGTTCCTCATGTCTTGAATTGCCCCTTTGTTTTATATTTTTACATTTTTATTATGCACTGTTTCAATTGAATTGTTTTATCTGTGGTTGCATAATGCATTATGTGTTACATAATGTATGTATGGCTAAGGGGGACAGTATACAAGTGTCATGAATAAATATGTATTCCAGCCTGCAGCCCTTACCACCGGTAGCGATGCCTCCCGGGAAGGGTTTCAAGCTTTTCAAATGGGAGCGCTGAATAGGCACCGGGAAGCACCTACTGCAGGCGGCCTGGTTGAAGATTCAGGGGTGACCTTCCAAATCGCACTGCGAGGTTGGAGCTGAACCGGCTGCTCTGTACCAGGACTGGAGGAACTACTCCTTTGGCTTTCCAGATCAGGGGTGGCTTTCAGTTGAAAGAGAACTCCTTACCAGGACCTAGTCAGTTGTATAACCGGTTGCTAAGTCACTTCCAAGAACGTCGGGACGACCTGGCTGGTTTGGTCAAAACTCTGTTTGATCTAGTCTTCTGTTTCCAACAGGGGTCAGTCAAGCTATCGTGCGAGGCTGATATGATGGGGATGGCCATGTCCCTGTTGATTATCCCCAGCATCTGATACTGCTTGTGGACAAGGAATCTCCATTTAGTGGTAGCTAAGAACTGAGAGATCAATTCTCCATGGATGTTTTATATTCCCTAGGATTCCCCAGCCTCCAGATTATTCCTTCAGTCCTGCTGTGCCTGGCCTTGCAGTCAGGAAACACCTGAGGGTGCCAGGTTGAGGAGGGCTAGTGGACAATAATTTTGTTAGCATTGTGTGTCCTTAAATCCTATGCATCTTTGCAAAAACTTGCAAACAAGGCCTTTAGGTCCACTTTGCAGGCGTGGGCATGACAGGGAAGAGAGCTGGTCTTGATGAAGACCACTTGGCGACTTTGTGGTGCTGGAACCTAGGCATCCTGGCCCAGATCTCACGGGACACGGAAAGTCTTGGACCAGTGATGCCACAAATTGCGCCTCGCTGCTTGGTCCTCTGGAGGAACTGCTGACATCTTTTCCGTGTACTCGTGAATCAGTAAAATGGCTCTTCCTTTCTCTTCAGAATCAGGAGCAGCTGAACGACGACGATTCAGACCTTATTCTGAACGATGGAGACATCATTTTGACGTATGGAGATTCCACCGTGAACACGGATTCTTTGACATCTGGTGCCTCCAGAAGGGTGGCAGGAAATGGTTCTGAGGACGCCTTGGACCAAGAACTTGGCTTTGGAGACCATGAACTTGTCATACGGGGTACGCGCCTCGTTCTCCCCATGGATGACTCAGAACCTCCCTCAAATGTCGTGGACAATGCCCGACATGGTCCAGCATAAGATCCGTAGCTTGATTTGGCCGATCGTCAAAATTCAATCCAGTCCACATATGATCATGAAGAAAAATGTACTACCTACAACAAAAACCTACTGCATGTCTCAGAATGTCTAAGCTGTATAAATATTTATTTATTTATATGGTGTCAGGAGAATATAACTATCTGTACGAGACAATTTGTAGAGAGCAAGCTCTTAATTGCATCTGTTTAAAAACAAGACACAAACTCATGGATTGCACTGCATAGCAGTGGAACTGTTGAGAACAAATTCTGCTATGCTGAGGAGTGCGGGAGGAGAAGAGAAAGGAATGGCAGGAAACAATGGCTTTTCTGTTGGTTTTGATAGGTCGGCAGAAAAGAGGGAGAGGAGAAGATGGGTTACTTTCCTATGTCTGTTCCAGCTTTAGCTAGCCCATCATTCAGCTGCCCAAGAGGGCGCCTGTAGAACGTGACTAGTTTAGAATCTTGAAGTTTTAGTTTGAAGCACATCCATAAAATTTGATATTAGAGATCTGGACAAAATTAATCTCCTGGTCTCTGATTTTGCTTTAGGCTTCCCAAGCAGCCGTCTTCACTTAGGATGGGTTGCTAAGATGCTTTCATGGAAATGCAGTGCTTAAATCCAGTCGTCACTTGGCTAATTGTTGGTGGTTTGTTGGCATTTGCCATTTGCAACTCCATTTGCATGGAAAGGTCACATTATAAGCCAGAGGTGATTCTTACAAAGTCACTTCCTTTGAATTTGTATGTACTTTGAGGGTGAGTTTGTTTGGTTTTGATTTCTCATGCCTTAGTCAGGTTTTGTGTTATGGTGCAGTCAAAGCCGGTAGAGTTTGCTTTCTCATATAGAGGATTAAACAGTGTTTTTAGACAGGCCGGGAGAATATGAAGAGGTTTCTGGGCTCCTCTTTAGCTTCTAGTTGAGCTTCTGTACCTTTCTGGTACGTAAATTTTTCTTCTGGCAGCATAGCTGCTAAGAAGACCAGTTGAAGTTAATTGTTGGGTGCAGTTCCATGCTACATCAGGGAGTCCACACAGTGTGAAGTGTTCATGCAGAGTTTTGAGACTCTGTGCAGGTTTTAAAAGAGACATTTTAGAATATTAGGTGGTACTGAAAGGGAGTTGTCTGTCCGTCCATCTTGTATAGTTGCACTTTTGTTTGGTAACTTCTTCGCATGCTTTGTGTGTCTATAAAGAAAGAAGAAACCTTTGGGTTTTGTTCTGGCATCTGTTTACAGTTAAATGAGAAATATTTTGTACCCTTTTGCCATGGTTTCTTGACTTATTTTTGCCCAAGGACGAGCACTGAACAATTTGCTGATTGTACACCCAGTGTATTCACCTTGACTTTGCAGTGGGGATCTTCGTTTGATGGTGCAGTGGGTGGTTTGGAGAAGCAAAGAATTCTGATTGTTATGTTTTCTTCAGAGAAAACAGATGCTGTTCGAAACCTTTCCATGTACAGTTCTTACTTTCCTTTCAAAGTAATCATTCATAGATTTTCTCACAGTTCCTGTAGGGCTGTTATTAATGCAACCCAATGCTTTGGTCCCCCTAGAGGATGGAGAAGCCCAGACTGGATTGGTGGAACATCATCTTTAGGAAAGATTGAAGGGACCTCAGTGATCGTCTTTCAGATTTTGGGGTTGTTCATCATTACTTTTCCAGGGGGAAATTTCAACCCAGAATGTGTGCTTGGCCTGTACACAGATTGGGTGGCCATGGATCTGTGTCTCAAATAAATGAGCTCTTGTCCAGTTCACTTGCTATTTTCTCCATTTGGCAGGAGTTTACATCTTGCTCCAAGGTCAGGTTTCTCCTTAGAAAATAGAAAGCGAACAGACCTAGCACTTTTCACCTTTGCAAGAATAGGGCCATCACTTCATTTAGGGCTTTTGTCAGAGAATGATTGTCCCAGCCTTTCCTGCACTTAGTGGGATTAGAGAAACACGGGGAGGTGTAATATATACGTAACAGCCAAGAGAAGAAATCACGTTTCCTTTTTCTTTAAAAGGTCTTATGTTTTCAGGTCAAAATTACATGCCTTAAGTATACTTCAGTGCAATTTTCTGGGACCACAAGATCATAGGCTCCTTCCTCCTAAGAATTCAGGATTCCGGCCAAGGGTGGCTGGTTTGCGAGCGCCCTCCCATTGAAGGGGAATCCCTCAAGAACAACCCCAGATGGTCTGTTTTACTTGGGAGAAGCAGGGCTGCCAGTGCATCCAGGAAACGTCAGCTTCTTTTGTTGTGGTTGCGGTTGTTGCAGGATTATTTTCTTTTTAGTACCATTGTGTCTTTTGTTTTTCCTGCTATGCAGGAATTCCATGGAGTGCGTATGTGCGTATGTGTGTTTTATATGATGTCTGTATCTTAATGTCAGATGTTAGAACAATAATAATAATTATAAGAATAATAATAGGAAAATATTTACGAAGGTTTTTACACCATTTGTGTACATTTGATTTCTCTTGTTTAAAGCTTTTCCAAACAAGAAAGAATGATGCCCCTCCTTCCTGTTTTCTTTTTTCTTTACATGTTGTGCAACCTGATGGCTGGTAGCCAGGGTTGCAAAAGGTCCCCACCCCATCCCGGGGAGTGCCATCAGGTGACAAGTCCCATCCCCCCATTGATGGAAGCTTGCTTATTCTGCGAAGGGGTGTGGCACCAGGTGCGATGATGGTTGGGCCTCGCTCATGCAAGTTTTTCTGTCCCCGACAGGTGGGAGCAGCAGCTCCTGGGCTCCCACTGGCCTCCCGCCCTTCTCAGAGCAGAAGCTAGAAGGACCCAGGATGGGGCCACATCCCATTCCTGACTTTTCTTGGCATGTTGCCCATCATGGATCAAAGTTGCCCAGGTGCATCTAGTACAGTGTTGAGTTGCAGGTTGCTGTCTGAGGAAGGGGAGGCTGAGGAGTGTTCACCAGGCCAAGGATGCCCTCGTTTCATCAGGGCACAAAAGTGTCCCTGGTGGTTCCTGCCTTTGTTTCCAGGGCAAAGCTCAGTGGCCCTCGTGAGGTGCAAATGTCACCTGCTGGCTATTGTGCAGCTCTTGGGGATGAAAATTCCCTGTACAAGGAGCAGCATCCTCATGCTAGGAATAGCTTTGTGCCTACAAAAGGCAGGCAGGCAGGCAGGCAGGCGTGTCCCTAGAATGCAAAAGAGTAGTCAGTCATATTGTTCCTTCAGAGGCATTTCCCCACATGATGGCAGTTGAATGTACGGCATTCCCCTCGGAGCATTCCTCGCCCTGGCCCAGAATCTGAGCAAATCCGCACTGCGTCTGTCACTGAATTCTGAAAAACAGTTCTGGACTTGCGCTCGGAACCTTCTCGGTTCACTCCCGACCTGCTCCTTTCTACAGACTGAGCAGCTGTGCGTAACCAAAATCCTGCCGCTCAGTGGACCCTCTTCTTGCACAGTTGTACCCGCCCCGCGTCTGCTGTGGCACATTGCAGTCGACATGCGGTTGTTATTCCGACCTCTGATGCCAAGCGTTGTTCTAACTGCTTATTGAATTCATATTCTGTTTGTCAGGGTGGTTGTTTTGATCTTACACTTTAATGCATGTGAATAACAAAGGAAGATTTTTAACATGGGAACTAACATCTAACAATCACCCAAGACTCATCCCTGCTTTGCCAGAAATAACTAACTAGGAATTGTTTACTAATTGCTTCGATGTTACGGAAGAGCATCTGCTGTGCTTCATTTCTCCAAAGGGTCTTTTACACCCACGGTTCTTAATGACCTCAAATGCAAGGGTGGAAATTTATTACCTCCCAAGTCTGGGCATAGGCCCTGAAAGATTGAGTCTGTATATGAGTTATAGACTTGATAAAAGTTCAGGAGAACTCTTCCCTTGAAATACTCTGCTCCGTAAATAGAGCAGCCAACTTTTTCTGCACCAAATGGCACTGCAGGTCAAGTTCTGGTTCACTCTACTTAACCGTTGGAATTGTCTGTTTTTATGGTATTAACTGCTGTAGTTGTGATGTTATTGTAATTATATACTTAAGCATAATTGCACCTTTTTTGGTTTCTGATGACTAAATCTTTTATTGTTACATGCACTGTGAAAAAAAAAGAATCATGGGCCTATAAAAACAAGTTTGTTTCTTTGAATTTTGTGTGTCTTTGTGTTTCTTTAATTGGCAAGAAAACGTGTGTTTCAAAATCATTTCAGGGTGCAATCCAGGGAGGGAGATGAGGTGTGACCAGGATCCATCAGATCTCAGCCGTTCTCAGTACCCTAAACCCCGTCTCCGGGGCTGCACTTAAACTGCATGGAAGCGGCCAGTTCTGAGCTTTTCCACATGTGCAGCTGAGTCCTTCACATTGCAGCTGTTAATGGCACAGGAACTTTGCTAGAGCAGCCTTGGGGAGGCCGTGCAAATTCACACGGTTTGCTAGAAGCATGCTTTTGGCTCTCGCACCACGGCTCGGCTTGGCGCATGGCTGTTTGAACCGTGCGTTTGAACGCGGGTTCCCAGGCGTCTCTTGTGGGACTGGGCATGGCACTGACCCTTTGTTACTCAGCGTACAGGGCCTGTGGCTATGCACACCCTTGCCTCTTGAAAAAGCGTCCAACACTCACGTGCAAAAAGAGTTTCCTGGCCTGCTGGCAGAGCAGACGTGGTGAGCTGTATTGTCTGTCACTCTCCATCCAAGTGTTTCTCCCATTGCGAGGAGCCCAACGTGGCTTCTGTGGGCCACCTCTGCTCCATTGGCTTTTCATATCAGCCAGTCTAAGCAGCAGTGGTTAGGCCGAAGTCACCCAGGGAGCTTCATGGTTGATGGGGGACTAGAACCTGGATTTCTCCAGCCCCAGTCTAAGTCTAACCACTCTACCTCACAGCCTGTCAATGCTGGCTGTGGAGAAGGAGGCCTATCTCTTCCTTGCTCGGGTTCTGTGCCAGGTTCTGAGCAGAAACAACTCACCTGCTTGTTTGCATGCAATTCTTGGCCACTTCTGACTATTTAAAAAGCTTCTATCAGGCCCTTTCCCACCAGCCACACGCAAATCCGCTCACAAGAGACGTGTCTTAAAAATCAGCGGCATATCAAAAGTGTTCGTTTAAATGTACCGTGTAAAATACACAGGAAAACAGTTTAGCAAGTGCATAAGGGGATCGGTTCAATGCACATCCAACAAGAAATCCACCGAAAGCCTTTCAAACAGCCACATTTAGGCCCCCAATGGAATATCATGCTGGGTGGGGGCGAAGCTCTCTTGGGGGCGCCGTTCCATACAGAGGCTGTCACTGCCGCAAATCTTTTGTTCACATAGTTGGACTAGTCCTTAGGGCAGTGAGAACACCGGGATTAGAGAAACAGCTGCCTGGGTTAAGTAATCCCACCCTGTGAAGGATCCATGTCTGGCGGTTCTGAAACCGTTTCCGGTCGGGGGTCGTTCTCCCCCAAGAGCTACTGTGGCCCACAGATCCAGACTGGACCTCGGAACAAGGGCTCTAGCAGGGCCCACCGCACAAGAGTGAAAGCAGCTCTCCAGATGTTTTGGGCTTTCCGCTTCCAGCCTTCCTGGTCCCTAGCCTTGCTGGCAAGGGCTTCTGGGAGTTGAAGTTCAGAATCCCTGCAGATCCACCTTCTGTCCACCCCAGCATAAACGAGGAATGGCTTGATGGGACTCTGAAAACAAATGCAGCATTGTTGTTGTTGTTGTTTTAATAAAGGTGGAGTGTGTGCATCCCAGTTCTGAAAGGCTGCCAGCCTCTGCTGCTTCTAATAATCAGAGCCAAAGCACTTCTATGGATCAGGCCTTTTCCTTCCGTAAGGAGAGCTTTTAAATTCTTGGCCAAATATTTAGACAGACACATCTATAAACAAGAGTTTTTGTCTCCAGCCACGCTTTTTCCAAGAAATTCCAAACCAGTTTCTCCACTCGATGCCGTCAGAGGTGCCAAGCTGTTTTGCAAAATGGGCAGCTGCTGCCGCCAATTAGAAGTCTCCATATATGGTCACAGTCTCCTAACTTGGTCTAGTCCACCAAAAAGCAGTGTGCCGTGCTCACTTTTAAGGTGATGCGTGTGGATTTCTGCCACTTCCCCTTTTGCCTCAGTGCCTGGGAATGCAGAGAGCAAAATGCTATAGCTCATGCGTCAGCTTTCTGTCGGCTGGACATGCTGGCTTTGTTGGTGGCAGCAGCCCATCTCCCGCCTGCCCCTGCAGAGCCTCAAGCAGTGAGAAGCTGTAGCCCAGGCCAAAAGCAGCTCTTGGATCTATAAGCATCTCCAGGAAGCCGTGGGGAGGCCAGAGTTGCACCCAGAGCAGTTCTTTCCTTTCCGTCCTCTCCCTGGATCCGCCGTTCACTGAGCTTTAATTTGTGTAGCAAGACTGGGCAACCTTCCAGATGTTTTGGACAACCATGTCCCATAATTGCTTTCTGTTGGCTGTGCTGGCCGAGCTGATGGGTGGCTTAGTCTGAAACATCTGGAGGGGACCAGGTGGCAGGCCTTTGGTGGCGAGCATGGCCAGTGTTGTTCGTGGTCTGTTCTTTCAGCTTGGACTCTGTTCTGGGGAAGCATGTTCCGTTTCTTGATCCCCACCAGGAGAATGCTGGCCGCGGGACATAAGAAGTCCGCAAGCCAGCCACCCGTCTGTGTGCCTTTCCAGCGTCTGGGTCTGAAGCACTGACACTGTGCCTCCTGGTTGCCCCGCAAGTGCCTGCAGGAGCAGGAGCAGCAGCACACCTGTAGGGACCTGCAGCATTTGAACCTTGCAGTCCTGAGGCTCAGCTGGGAGCAAGGGCAGGGCCCATAAAAGGACTCCTGTGCTGCTCAGGTTTGCCGGAGCCTGGTGGGTCTCTATGGCAGCTACTGTGTGCTTCTGATCCTGGTTCCCCTTGACTTGCACCTGCTCTTGCATCTGGCCTGAGGTTGCCAGGTTGCTGACCCTCACCTGCCTTTGATTCTGGATCTGCCATGCCTCCTTGGCACCTCATCCTTGTTAGCTCCTGAGCCCTGGACTTCCCATGCCTTGTTGGTATCGGATCCTAGTCTAATCCTGGCCATCTTTTCTTCTGGTCCAGTTGTGCCTTACCTGTATCTGACTCTGGTTTGCACCTTGGCCTCCACCATCCCTGGTGCTCCAGCTGCAGGTACCTGCTGCCTGTGTCCTGGACCTGAAATAGAAAGAATTCTATTGGGAGAATTGATCCTTCGGGCGTCAGTGATGGAGACACTCCACCGCCGGTGGCAGAACACTCAGCTTAGGACCGAGAGTTTCTCATTTTGCTCCTGGCCTCTCAAGTCTCAAACAGAACTTGAGCTGCCAGACTCCTGGAGAACAGAGTTCAGCACTGGAGTTCCACATCGAAAAGACCTTCGCCTGCCTCATTTTAGATGGCAGCATGAAAGATCTTCCTGTAAAGCAGGAGTGGAGACCTCACGCAGTCCTCTTGGACTCCAGCTTCCAGCATCCCCAGTGACTGGCCTGCTGGTTCTGACTGATGGGAGCTGGAGACCATCAACTTCCCATCCCTGGCATAAGGGCAAATTAAGTGCAGGAGAAGACGTTCCTGTGATTTTCCACATTCCGGTCTGTGGGGCTTTTAAAAGGGCTTGGAAAATGACTGGGAGCCAGCAGGGTCCTTTGGGCATTGGTGAGATCTTCTCCAGGGTGTGGACCTCAGCCCCGTCCCTGCATTTGGGAGGCATCAAAGTTTTCGGGCAGCCCCAAAGACAAGATGTTGCCATCCTCCAGGCATATTGGAGCACTGTGGACTGAGAGGGGGACTCATCCATGCCTCCCCTTTCTCTCACTGCCCTTCCCTTCCTTCGCTTCTTTGCACCCATCTCGGTCTTTCTCAGCATGTGTTCAGCCAGCGAGCGACTCCGTGGGCCCTTCTGACCTTTCTTGTGTGGGTGCAGCATGACAATCAACAATCGCGAGTGGGAAAGTGCAGGGACGGGCTTGGCGGAAAAGGTGACTTTGCACGGTCCCTCTTTTTAACTGCACTGCCATAAAAACTTGAGCATTTCCTTGCCTTCATTCCTCCAGGGAGCTGACTTAAGGCAGGGCTGGGCAAAAGGTAGATCCCCCTTCCCAGATCAGGCAAGCTTTCCTGAGCCAAATAGGAGCCACTGAAAAGCTTTCCTAGCCCCCGGGCACTGGCCAAGGGCCCCTCCTCTTCACTACCTCAAGTTGCCACTGCTCCTTGCTCTGGCCCAGACAGCAGAAGGACCGGGAGGGAGGACTGGGGAGCCAGCCGATGGGCGGAGAAAGCGACCAGGAGCAAATTCAGCCAGTGTTTGTGGCAGGGAGAGAGCAGGTGCCCTGAGGGAGGGGAACCGGGCAGTTTGCCACTAACAGCCCGAAAAACCTGGACCTGGCATGGCAAGCGACTGCAGAAGAACCGGACGCGAGAGGATAGCCAGGAGGGTGTGTCTGTTTCTTGCCTGGAAGGACCACCGAGTTTTGTTCTGGCACTAATCACAAATCCCTGGCCTGGGCAGATGCTTAATTCTTAGCATGAATTTATCGGTTAATTCTACTCCCATCCTGCTTTTCTGCCTGCCAAGGATGCTAAGGTGGCTCACGACCCCCGCTCCTCTCCATTTTTTCCACACAACAACCCTGTATGTGTTTTAGGTTAGGTTAGGCTGTGGGTTAGGCTGAAAGTCAGGGCTGGGCCACAGTTTTGCTTGTTTGAGTGGTGGACCTCTGGTAACTGAGGAAGGAAGCAAGGAAGGAAGGAAGGAAGCAAGATCAGCAACCCTGAAGTCTCCCAGCGCTTAATCTAAAGCACCTACTGGGTTAGCTGTCAGGGCTGGCGAATGCTCGGTTATTGCTCTCTGATCCTGTTCTAAGCCCAGCAGCTCTGCGTGGTTTTTTTTTTTGGAGGGGGGGCTGAAAAGAGGTGAGGTCAATCAGGGACCGAATTACTCCACTCAGACTTCATGCAAACTCTTATAAGGTAGCTTCCTACGTTCTTCAGACGGATGGAGTCAGATCCCCTCGGCGAACTGTGCCTTTGCCAGTTTTAAAGGGCTGGCTCCTAGCAAATGCCACACATTTAGCAAAGAAGGCAGGACGTGAGTCCATCTGGAAGAAAAACTGGTTAGAGGCAAGCGACATCCAGCAGGGTGCTCAGACTGCTTTGTTGCAGCAAAAACAATGACCGCTATTATGCCACCTTAAAAGCCAACACACTGAGGATGGTTCTAGTCCAGCGGAGGTCACAGCACAAGAAGCAGCCTGCTTGTGCTCTGGGTCTGCCAGAGTCTTTGTTCGGTGAGCGCATCAACCGTTTGCCCCAATGGTTTGGTGTCGGGTCTGCAAGCAAGCACGCAGGTTCCCGGGTGCTGCTCTCACTCTGGGCACGGCTTCAGCTGCTGCGGTGCCTGCCCCGCAGCTTTCCCAAGGCCCCTTGTGAAGAAAGGAGTGGTTCCCAGGACGAAGGAAGGAAGGAAGGAAGGAAGGAAGGAAGGAAGGAAGGAAGGAAGGAAGGAGCTGCCCTCTGGCTGGGAAGGGAAAGACCGGGACCGGGACGGGACCTCCGTGCCCTGGAACTGCCCTGCCCCCTCCTGCTTTGCCCCCTGCTGTGCCTACGAGAGATCAGACGGTGTGATTATCCCTGCCTGTGACTGATAGAGTGTGACGTGTGCTGTGGAAGCAGCACAGTTGTGTCCAGTGTGAACTTTGCTTTGGGAGCGCTGATGGTTCTCGTGGAAGCGACACTTCTTAGCACTGGGCCCTTGCGAGAAAGTTTCAAGGTGAAAATCGTCACTTTCTTCTGCACTCATGTGGCAGAAAATCAACTTTCACCCTCCCTCCCTTTTCAACATTTCCAAATAAAGCCTTTTCCCTCGCAAGCTGCTTCTTCAGTGACTAATGCAGTGGGATTCACTCCTGAGGCCCTGTGCTTATACTCTGCTCTTGTTTGGATAACAGGCCAGCTTTTCATTTGTCTTCATTTTCATTATGCCTGCCAGGAACGAATATACACAATATTAAAAAGTCACTATATTTCTCTCTGGGCGGCAGCAACAGCAGGACCCAACACCCTCGCAGCAGATGCAAAGTGATACAACATTCCCCAAAGCCAACAGATTCCTGTCTGGAATTCACATAACCATTAAAAATGGGCGGGGGAGTTACTTTGCTCACACATCTGTTGCTAGGAAAACATTTTGATGCGTAATGAAAAGCCCGTGCTCTTCTGAGAGGTTATAATCATAGGGCAGTCGTTCCCAACCAGGTGCCCTCCACATGCTTTGGATCAACTCCCATCAGCCCCAGCCAGCACAGCCAGTGGTCAGGAACATGGGGGCTGTAGTCCCACGCATCTGGAAGGCACCAGTCTGGGGAAGGCTGCCTTGTGTACTTCCAGATGCCCATATTGCACTGTTTGTGCGCAGAATGTTAACAGGAGGTGCAGGAGTCGGAAACACTCCGGTTTCTCCAGCGGCCTTTTTCTCTTTCCAGAGGGGAAAAAGTTACAACAAAGCAACCCTCGGCTCACACTTCTCTGAGGCATGCATCTTCTGAATTAATCTTGGAGTGATGTTCCACTCTTATGCCCACTAAGGTTTGGCTGCAAAAAGGCAGGGCCACAGATTGGGGGTGCTGTCAGTGCTTTGCACAGAGCGGGCCCCAAGTTTGGTTCCCGGAGACTGCATCAGGAGTCATGGAAAGGAGCAGGGGGTGGGGGTCCTTGGTCCCTCTTGGAGAGAGAGCAGACTGTGCGGACAGACAGGTGGGCAGCCTGCCGTGCAGGTGTGTTCCTTGGGCTGGCAGTGGCTACCAGTCCTGGAGGCGGCAGAGGCAGGGGGCATGAGCCCCTGGACACATGGCCCTGGGTGCAGCAGCGAGGCAGGCCTGCCGCCCTTGTGCTGAGCTCCGGGGCTGAGGACTCAGCCCGTCCCTTCTTGCCCCTCGGCTCCAAAACACCAGGCAGTCCTCTTGCAATGCAGAGCTTTACTGCCATTTGTAGCTGCAAGACCAAGTACCTCTAGCAGTCCTCTAGGGAGCTCGAAGATAAACCTCTGCTCATGCAACAAGTGTGGAACCCAAACTGGGAACTTCTCCCCAGAATCCGTGGAGTCCACGCTCAGGGTGACTCCTGCAAGCAACTGGGTAACTTGTCTCACCTGAGGCCTCATAATGGAGCCAGGGACTGGGGAAGGCACTGGATCTCCCTGCTCCCGACTGGTCTCTTCCAAAACATCCCCACCCTCCTTGTCAGCCTGGAAAGCTGTGCGAAGCTGCCGTGCTCTCGCTGAGTTTCCAACACGCCCGTTGCCATTTTCAAGGTTCTCGTCTTCATAATCTGGGATGTGATGGAGGATTGGGAACTAGGAATGGGCGCCTAGTTCCTGCACTACAAACTGGCTGCCACAGCGGGAAACAGGCAGTTGGTCCACTTGCCGTGGTCCTGCTGCAGTGGAGGCTGAGGAAGGTGCCCAGGCATGACTTGGGTGCCCCCGAGAGGAGAAGCGACTCCAGAGGGCTTTTCCTGCACTTCTGCTGCAACGTGGGCACTTGGCAGGGGCCCAACCGCCCCTCCGTCCGCCTGACACCGTCTTGCTCGCACCGTAAAAGGCAGGCGGGTGAGGGAGAAGGTTGCCAGCAGCAACTGCAAGGCCTCAAAGATCTGCCCTCTCTCACATTCAGTGGAGGGGACCCCCCCGCCCCATTCAAACATTCAGCGGCTCCCTCACCCAGCACTAAAAATTCCTTCTTGCTCATGTCATTTCCCTCTTGTGCACTTATCTAAATTGTATATAAGCCGGGAGTAGATTATTTTGAATCGTGACAATGGAAAAAACAGAGCGAGTGCAGGCGAGACCCGAGAAGCTGAGGTCCCTGGATGTGTTTTCGGGAGGTGTTTGCTGACACTTGGAGAGGGGACCCAGGCCTCCTCCTGCCCCGTTTGCAGCTCCTTTTAGGGGGCCAAAACTAGGACCGTGAGCTTTCCTGCTTTTCCTGTCACCTCCCTCCCGTCTGAGGGGGACTGGGGTTTAGATTTCCTAGTGAGGAGGAGTGTTTCTGGAATGGTTCCTGGGGAAACTGCTCCATGGAAAGTCAGAGGGCAGCAGGTTTTTTCCCATTAATATTCCATCTGTACCTGGGGTAGTTAATTATTTGCCAAAGGTGGCAAGCAGCAAACAGTTAAAGCAACATTTGTAAAACAGGCACAAGGCGTGGAACAGGTGCCAGCTGCAAATCCTGCCTGAGCCCAGTAAGACCCTGATGCATCCGGGCAAAGCCACGGCCCACTCCTCTTGCGTCCGCCGTCGGCCCAGGGCCAGCAAGATGCCTCTGCAGGAGCCTGGGAGCAGGGCGTGGGCGAGACTGCCCCCTGCGCCAGCGCTCGGCCTGTTCAGAGCTGTGGATGGCCTCTCTCCAGGGTGGGTGTGCTTCCAACCATCATGGCTAAAAGGACTGTCCGAATATCCCCCTGCAGCAAACCAGTTCTAGAAGTGGGGAACTGTTTTGTCTCCAGAGCTGCATCCCTTGGGGTAACCCATCAGAGGTGACAAGCTCCCCCCTTCTCTCTCTCTCTCTCTGTCACCCTTTCTTTGCCACTGCCCATTTTCCTGCCACCTTCCTCTTCCTCTCTGTCTCTGTCTCTCCTGCCACTTCCCCTCTTCTCCCCCTTGCCCTGCAGGTTGCCAGGGAGCCGACAAAGCCCTCTTTCCAGATGCTTGAGACGGTTTCTAGTGGAAGGCCCCAGCCATTGGCCCCAGCTCCCCATCCCTGGTCCAGCCTGCCTTCCACAGGGAGGCACCTGATGCTTAGTCTCCCAAGCATGGCTTGAAGGCAGGAGCCATTTGGAGGTGAACGGCTTCCCATTCCCAACTCGGAGGCCCCACTGAGTTCTCTAATGAATAGCGGTTGTCTCTTTAATTAGCAAAGGCATCAGAAAAGGCAGTAGTTTTGATACCACACCGTAAGATGTCATCCCCAAGAGAACCTTCCTGGGAAAGCTGCAGCAGGGAAGTTCTTGCTTCCAAGAAGACCCGGCATGCAGCGCGCGCGCGCGCGCGCGCACACACACACACACACACACACACAGCAAGTGGCAACATACTGTACATGTGCTGTAAGCATCCCTGTGTGTCTTGAAAGAACCCTGTCTCCTAGGAATGCTCCAGTGTGTGGACACTATGCATGGCCAGGGTGGGGAGGGTATTTGACCTGGGGAGGGGGGACTTCCTGCAGAAAGATCCACTGGGGGGCATCAAATAGGGTAGCACATCCAGCTAATCCCCGGAAAAAAGATACAAGAGAGATCAGTGGGTGCCCCGTGCCTTTGTTTCAGCCCAAGGACAGCAGGATAATGGTGCCCATGGCCTCCCAGGGATTTGAAGCATTCAGGGCTTCAGCCCCCTAAGACTGCCTCTGGGAGGCTGAGTCCAAATCGGAGTGCCACCACAGAGAAGCCCCTGTCTGCAGTCACCATCTGCCTCAAGTTCTTGTGGTGGGAGCCCCGAACCAAGCTCTTGATGGCCACCCGAGTGGCTGGGCCAGCTTATTGTCCGGGAGGAAGCTGTGTTAACCACAGCCTCCCTTAGTGTCCTGCCTCTGGCTTTGGCTTTCTCCCTGCTTGGCGGAGATTTGGTAGGCAAAACTTTTCTGTGCCAGGTAGAAAAGCTTCACCTACTTAGTTTCTGTGTGTTAAAGAAAGAGAAGGGCAAACAAACAAACAAACAAAATTTAAGCCAGCAGCACCGCATTGCCAGGAAATCATTTTAGTGAAGTGCATGAAATATCTGCGGGGAGGACCTGCATGAACTCTGTATGTGATCCAAAGTATTCCTCCTTCCTGTATTAAAAAATCCTGGAGTTAAGCCACCCTCTGAAAACGTAGCTGTACAATTCAGCGGATTTCTTGGTGTCCCCACCGCCCTTCCACAGAACGCTCTGCAGGGTGACTCACGAAAAAGAGGAAAAGGGAAAAGTCTGGGCTGCACCCCCTGAAGCCTGGCAATTCTTTCACCATCTTTTTGGAGGCTGCAAAAAGAGGGGCCCGTGTCTTCCACCATCTGGTTGTCCACAGGGATTAACCTCTTGGGAAATCTGGCACTTCTCCATCCGGCAGCAGCGTCCTGCCTAGGAGGGACCTCGCGGGCTTGCCTCTTTCCTCCTCCCCTGCCTCCAGCCCCAGCACTCTGCCGAGCCGCAGCCCTTCTGCTTCAGCTCTTGGCTACTCCCCGGCTGCCTTGTAAACAGTGTCAGCAGCTGCCTTGGATCTTTTCTGGGTATCCTGGTGGCCGGTCAGAGGATCTTCCTGCGTGAGTATGTCTCTTTCCTCTCCTGCATCTGCAGCATCTCTCCAAGGGACATCTTTCGGCGAGAGAATCTGGGGTATTCGGTGGCTTGCAACTTCGGTGTGGGGGAAAGAACATTTTACAGGGCTGGTGCTGGTCCTCGCAGCTGCAGCTGAAGTAGGAATGGCATCAGGGAGTGAGGCTGGAGCAGCAGAACAATCGTTCTTTCCCCAACTTTATAATTTTTGGAGGGTCTTGGTTTCTCATACTTTTCCTTTCCAACTAGTCACTAACTTAACACAGACGTATTCTAGCAAGAGGCCTTGGTGCTGAGTGTGAGTTGCTGGCAAATGGATTTGCAACTTCTCTTTCACTTTCTTGTTTGCATTTCCTCCTCGTGAAAGCTGAAATTGCTCTGCGGGGGGATGGCAAGCGTGGCACAAGCTCCCGCGGGGCTGGATAGCCTGGTGCTTCGCCTGGGGTGGTTCTGCTCTTTCAACTCGGCCCAGCATGCATGGGTTGGTCTCTGCTTTGAACTCTTGAACTGGATGAGGCTTGTCTCCCAGCAGCAATGGCTGTCTTTTGTTCCTGTCTAATTCGAAGCAAATCAGCATGAAAAAGGCTCCAGCCCAATGTCTGTTATTTTCCTTGAGCATCTTGCAAAGAGCATTCTGTGAATCACTTGGTACCCGCTTCCCTCTCAGCTTTCTAAACCTCGCTTTTCCATTACCCGGTTATGTGTTACTCTTGCCATAACAATTTCAGCTTGAGTGTCAACCTGGTCAAGAGGTCCTTGCGGTTTATGGGGCCATACAACCGGCGAGCAGCGGCCGCGTTTACCGACGTGCGCCCTTATGTTACATATTGCCAAGGAGCTTCAGTTGTGAGCTGCCAAGCCCCCCAGTCGAATTGTGTCGCTTGTGCCACGAACATGCCCCTCTCTAGCTCAGGGCACCTTCCCCCACCACCCGCAGCCTCCATAGCAGGGAAGGGAAAACGGCCGAATCTGACTTGACCAGGAGACGCAAAATTAGGATCTCTGCTTTTTTTTAAAAATGTACAGCAGCGAGAGTGGGTGCGCTGGTTGTTCTTGGGGTCTCTTGCTTGTGGTAGTTTGTAGACCTCCAAGGTCTCCCCCGTTCTTTCCAGGCATTTGTGGTTTCTTTGTAAAGGAAGGAAAGTGTAGTATTCTCGGAAAATACAGCACAGCTCCGCTATGCCTCTGTGGGAGCTGCATCACCGAAGATATAGAAAGATAGAGTAAGGAAAACAAAACAAAACAAAACAACAACACCCAAAGGAGAAAACACATAAGGAAGTTAATCTTAATTGTGCAAAGAATCCAGAAGAAGCAGCAGCCTTGGTGAAGTGGCAGGGTAAATGTTTAACCTGGAGAAGCCCTGGATGCATGGATGATTGGCAGTAGACCGGCAAGTGTTTCTAATTCTTAACAGTTTAACAATAGCAGGTGCAATAGAGTCTCTTCTGTAGCCTTGCACTAACTGCTGAGCCTCAGTCTTCCTCACTTGTAAAATGGGTGTATGAATCAGCTGCTTTGACCCCATTTCTATGGACCTCTTTGAAAGTTTTGTGCTGGAATTCCTGATCTATAGTAACTTAGGGGTGGGTTGGAATTTGTATATAGAGTGTGTCATGGTCTCCACTTCCCCTGCCCAGCAATCTGCACCTGGACCATGGGGTCTGATTGGGGAAAAAACAGGCCCCACCAGCCTAAAAGCTGCCCGTCTCTGGTGTAGCAGAGACAGTACGGGAAGAGGGTCAAACGGGGTGGTCACTGGTGGCAAAGGAGAAATGTTTCTTCCCGCCACAAAGAGCTGGAACTCTCTCCGGCGAGGCCTGCCAACGGCTCCCTGGGGGGCGCAGTCCTATGGCCGCCTGGCATGGTCCGGGGGCCACAGAATTCCTCGGGGTCCCTGCTGTGTGTGCCACTGATCTTGGAGCAGAGGCTGCAGGCCAAGCCCCCCCCCCCCGCCAAGGAACAGAGCCAGCTGCCCTCTGCAGGGTGGGCAAAAACAAGCATGCCCAGGGTGGGGAGCAGAGAGGTGGGGGCCATGGGCTCACAGGGGTCCTCTCTGCTCCCGCAGCCCTTGAGCTCAGCAGCAGGTGGAGCCACCTTGCTGGAAGGCAGGGCGCAGAGGGTGGCAGCAGCCAGCACCCCTGACTGTTCTCTCTGATGCTCTGAGGATGGAAGCATAGGACATGACCCTTCAAATCCACGGCACAGGGCAGCCGTCGACGGCTCAAGTGCAGCCTCCGTGTTCCACAGCAGCCGTGCCCTTCTAATGGGCCCGTCCTTGCCAGGGGCAGGCAACACTGGCTGGACTGCCTCCGCCACCCCACATGCCCAGTGGGAACAGGATGGCTGTGTTTGCACGTACCATTAAACAAGGTTTATGTTGACCACGGTTTGTTGCTTTAGCCATTATTGTCCTGCAGGCATGCAAACAGGCTTGTTTTCCTTATTTCTGGATTGTTTCTCTCCCTCCCACTTCGCCCACCTTTGGTACACACTCAGTTTCAGGTCAGACAGCAGCACAAACAAGCTTGGAATGAGCCAAGCTTCTGTGCTCAGGCATCACCAACTCATGACTTGGTCAGCCCGCAACAAGCCATGGGTTCTGTTCGTGCCCTGTAGCTGGTTAATAAGCCATGGATTGTTCACAGAGATGGGTTCAGACATAATTCCAATCCAAATTTCAACAAGCCATACCTTGTGTTAGCATAACATGCAGACCAGGTCTCTGCTAGTCTTACTGGATGTTAAATTCAGCAAGGAGGCATTTATGTTCTTTTTAAAGCAACGCTTTCAACAGAAAGCCCTCCTTTTTATACATCAACATTTCCTGTTCTTTCCTTCTTTCTCTCTCTGCCCCTCACTCTCTTTTGTGCAAGCCCATGTAAGATGTGAAAGGACCCTTTGGAAATCGACACAGTGACTTTTTAATGTGCTAAATTAACTATTTTCATTTATTAAAAATTAGGGAACTGCAACCGTATGTTAAAAAATGGTCTGCTATTAGTTCTGTTTATTTCGCTTTCTGTTTGGAGAGGAATGAGTAGACATGGCACAGAAAATGGTGCTTTTTTTCCGAGAGGAGGAAAAACCCCACTCAGATAGTTTAGGCATGATTTGGACAAACCACCTGAATGTAAATAGTGGCGTTTCGGCTGATGTAACCAAATATGGCCTGAAAGAGTCTGGGGTTGGGCCTGGAAGAAAAGTAAATTCTGTTTAGCGGGGTTGGTACTCCTGGAGATGAAAAACTTTCTGTTAAATTTCATCCCTAGAAAAATGCAATGCAGTGTAGTAGTGAAAACGTCGGACTGGGGCTCAGGTGATGTGGGTTGTAGTCCCCACTCAGCTACAAAAGCACTGGGTGATTTTAAGCCCATTGATGGCTTTGAGCCTAACCTACCTTGCAGGGCTGTTGTTGCAAGGATAAAATGTGGGGGAGAACCTCGTGAACTGCCCTGGGTTCCTTGCAAGAGGAAGAAAGGCAGACTGTAAATGCACTGCTAGAATAATTATAAAATGTGTGTGTAAGAATTGCTATACAAACCAAGTGTTGTCGGACTGAGAGTGCAGTCTTGTGTGTCTTTACTCAGAAGTAAGCCCCACTGAGTTCAATGGCACTGCATGCTAAGTATGTGTGTAGATAGTTGCAGCCCATTGAACTCAATAGGACTTGCCTCTGACTAAACATACAGAGTGCTTTACAGGTTTTGAGTCATGGTCACAGGAACAGGGCAGATGATGAAGAAATAATGGGAACATAGTCAAAAAGATTGCAAGAGATCTGCAGAGGGGACTTAATACAGCAAATGTCAGTGATTACAGGATATTGACATGACATTCAGGAAGACACAGGTCTTGGGTGTGGGTTTGAACATGCAAATGAGAGTGATTGCAATGCTGCTAGAAAAACTAATCTGGCAGCTTTTATCAGCTTTGCTGCAGTTAGCAGAACAATAGACATGGATTAACTTTCCTTGGGAGCCCCTTTCTCCAAAGGCTTTTGCAACCAAATGTAGCAACCACCTCAGGCAGTAAAGTGCTCCAGCCTTGACAATGCGATGCAGCCGCCAAAAGGGCAAATGCTATTTGGGGATGCATTAACAGAAGTATTACTTCTAAATCATGAGACACAGTAATTTTCCTATTCTCCTCACTAGTCAAGACCTCACCTGGAATAATGTGTCCAAGATTTAAGAATGACACAGAAATATTAGAGAAGGTCCAGAGGAGGGCAACAAAAATGATCCAGGGTTTGGAAACACTGCCCTGTGAGGAGAGACTGGGAGAACTGGGCATGTTCATCCTGGAGAAGAGAAGGCTGCAGGGGGACATGGTATCCCTCTATAACAGGGGGTCCTCAAACTTTTCCACCTGGGGGCCAGCTGAAAGCTGCCGATACTGGACACGTTGCCGATGTGCCAGGGCAGGGGCGGGCGTGTGGGCGCGCACCCTGAGGTGGAGCACAAGGCAAGATGAGGTGAGGTGGGGGCAGGCGCGCACAGTGAGAGGAAGCGAGGTGTAGGCGGGGGTGGGCATGCTCCGCGAGGTGGGCGCATGAGGCAGTGGCTTGCTTGCTTGGAGACCGTTTTCTCTGAGTGAGCAAACCGCTGCTTCCTTGTGCACAGGATGAGGGGGGTGGCAGCGTGCGCGTACGTATGCACAGGCGTGCGCACGGCCGGTCCAAATGGGCATGGCGGCTGGATCCGGCCCCCAGGCCATAGTTTGAGGACACATGCTCTATAAAAACCTGAAAGGCTGTCACAAAGAGGAAAGTCAACATAGAAACAGAGCAAGTCAGAATGGGCCTCCTGGGTCATATAGTCTGATCCTCGGCTCCAGCCGGATCTGCTCACGACATGCCAAGATCTCTTCTGGCTGATGCCAGAGTGTAGGACATGGAATAATCAGCTCAAGTTGCAACAACCCAGGTTCAGGCTGGGCATCAGGAAACGCTTCCTCACGGTCAGAGCAACACGGCAGTGGAACCAGCTGCCTGGAGAGGTGGGGGGCGCTCCCGCACTGGAGTGAAACTGGACAGCCCTGAGTGGGATAGTGTGCACTGGTGTCCTGCAACAGCAGGGGGTTGGACTCGATGGCCTTCGTGGCCCCTTCCAACTCTTCTATGATTCTTAAAGGAACAGGTCACTGACAGCATTTCAGGGAATCAAAGGACATCTGGCTTGGAATTCTGGTTCTTTCTGGGCAAAAGGAGAAGGGATACTGCGGTTCTGATTGTATGTCACAAAGACACGTATAAGCAACCTTCTCTATACAGATCTATCTGGGTTTTCCCAATACCTGCTTGGCTTTTATCCCTCCCTGATTCTAAGGGGTTCAGGAATGTTTACAGCAGACCCCATCTGGCTTTCGCAATGACCATGTGAGGCTGGCTGGAAAGAGAGATAAGAGGGACGGGATTCTGTCCCTTTCGGTTTCTTCTGCCTTTTCATTATCCCAGACTTAAATTCATCTCATCATGTTTCTATATTAGTTTTGTGGTTTTTAAAAAATGTCTGCACAAAAATGCCAGCTACGAGTAAGTCGAACAACGAATTAAAACAGAACATTAAATGAATGGAAAATCCCCATCAAGGGTCTTGTAACCCACCCTACCAGGTTACTGTAAGAGTAAAGGGTGTGAGGAACCGTGTGGACCACCCTGAGTTCTCTGTTCATGGGTTCACATTCCCAAAAGACAGGACACACAAGGAAAAGGGGATGGGAAGGGAAGAGGAAAACGCAGGCATTCGGCTGAGCTGCTGGAATAGCTATGCTGGTTCTCCCATCTCTGTAGAGCCTGCAGGTACTTCCCATGGGGCAAATTGCAGCTCTGGCAGAGAGGGCAGCGAGGACTGGGAAAACGACAGGGGGGAAGTGCCCCCCAGGCCATACTCCTATGCAGTGCTGCAGCCTCAGTCCTAATCCTGTATCTCCCCCGCCCCTCCCCGGTGGCTGCATTTGCCATGTTTTGGTTTTGGAAGAGACCACACTTTTCTTGACATTAACCTCCAGCTCTCCACCCAGCTTTATATAGGTGGAAAGAACGAGGTTTGTTTTAGTTAGTTCTCGCCAGCCTGGTGCGTTTGGATGACAGCTCCCATTGTCCCCCACCAGTATGCCCTGGACCCCGGAGCCCAGCACATCCAATGCAAGTGGCTGCGGGAAGTCCGGTGCCAGGGCGAGGCACAACACGGAGGGCGGCTTCCGCCCCGAGTCACCTTCAGGCGTGGGAAGCAGCTCCGCTTGGCTGGCCTCTTGCTGATCCTCGCCTTGCCTTCACTTCTGCCTGTTCCAGCTGCGTTCTCTGCCGTCTGCAGTGGAGAAAGGGAAATGGAGGCTTCCTCCTCGTCCGGCAGCAGGCAGGCAGGCGTGCCCAAATCTAACTTTTCCTGGCAGCTGGAGGTGTTCAAAAAGACGATCTGTCTCTTGTGTGACCGGAGCCATATAAAAACTAGGATCTTTGGAGAACGTGTGCATGCACTGTTTCCCCTTCTGCTCAGCATTGCGTGTGGGTTAGGCTTTGGCCCAGTAGACTTTTGCTCTGCCTGGTCATGCCCAAGCGCAAGAGCAAACACGGTTGTGCCCCTGGCAAGGGTCCACACCACGGTGCGCTGCCCTTCCTTCTCACAGTGGCAGGCTGCTTGTTCCCTTGCCTTGGCGGCCTTCTCTACATGAGGGGTTTAACCCGCTGCAGAATGGGGGCTGCTTCTTCCGGTTTTTTGTTGCAAGAGAGAAGTGCATCTGTATGACATACCTGACTGGCCGGCACTGGGCAGCAGCTGGCTCGTCCCATCCCAAACACACACACAGCAAGAGAGAACCTACAGCACAGTTACAAAATAACAGAGAATGTCACTGGCCAGAGATTGTACAATCTCCTGCCCAAAAGCCTGCGCCTCAGCTCCCAGGTAGACTTGCCCTGCAGGTGTGTGCAGCGATCACACGGATTTGAATGTGCCAGCCAGGAATCCCGGCAGGAATTTCAGCCCAATAAGCAGCTGTTCCGCTGCCTGGCCATACTGGGCAGAAAAGGGGGCTCCGCAGTGCTCCTGAGGTCGATTGCCGTTGTCTTGATGGCGGCCTCGATGGGAGCCGCAATAGGGATGCCCAGGCGCAGTCGGGAACGACCCCCTTCGCCTTGAACCCCAGCAGTTTATTGAAAGATCTCCCAGGCCCCCCGCAGCTGCTCACGACAGCATGCGACCGGGCCGGGTTCCCACCCCCAACTCCACGCTTTTGGAACACACACAGAGTGTTTCATAGGTTCCGAGCCACGTGGGCCCAGCAGCCGGGCAGGTCATGAGGACGGTCACAGTCAGAAGAAGGAGAGAGGCTGCAGAGGGGGCATTTGATTGCAGGAGATTAACATTAGGGCCACTGAGGCACAGGGATTCCTGCGGGTCTTGGCATGCGGATGAGGGAGATTAGCCAGGCAGCCTTATCAGCTCTTAGCAATCAGCAAAGCAACAGCCCTGGCAGCCCCAAGGCAAACTATCAGTTCCCAGTCTTAAGCTAACAGCAAATGCCAAACAGTAACCTGGCTTGGTGCTTTCTGAGAAAGGGGTGCAGATTTGATTGGATAACACAAAGGCACATATACACAACCCTTTTCTGCCAGGATTTATCTGAATTTTCCCAACAATTAAGCCCTTGCTGTGCTTAATTGGACCTAACACGCCACGGTCTGGACCCGTGGGTCCAACACATCTCCCACACGTTTCCTCCCCCCTGGAGCACGTGCTTCTCTTCCTTTGCATAGATCCTGCTCACCAAACACAAGATGCCACAGGGCAGGTTTACCCCTTTTGGCGAGGTTTCAGTTTTGGCTCACTGCCATTTAGGAGCAGCCTCCCCTTGCTCTGAAAACAAAGCAAGCAACCAGCCCAAGAGAACGAGCAAAAGGGACTGGAAGGTGTGGGAAAGCTGGTGAGGTGAACAGGCCCGGAAAAACCGTATGGAGGGGGGTTGCCCAGAGGGGCTTGTGTTGCCAGGGCACACAACAGGCAAGTGGGGGAAGGCAGGCTGGTGGAAAAGCGTCTGCGGAGCAAAGGCAGCCTGTGGCCTTAGTGGGAAGAAGATGGGCTTGTGCAGCACGGAGGCAGGCTGTCCAGAGACACACACAAACCTGCACCCCGCACAGCCTTCCCCACCTCTTCCGCAGAATCTGGGCTGCCGAAGCCCTGCCTTGTGGTTTCTGAGCCACCGCTTGCTTGCGTGCTGCTCCCCATCGCTCCTTCCGGGACGTCCAGAGTCAAGGAATAAATCCGTTCTAAACAAATGAGTCACTATCGTTATTATTTTTGGGGGCAGGTGGGGCGACTGCCAAGTGCTAATTTAAACCACAAATCCATCCCATGTGTGATTGAGTTAACCAGCAGCCCGATAACGAGAAAGACAACTGGCTGGCAGCGAGGGCTGCCACGTGATCTCACGATGCTCCTGAAAGTGTGCCGGATGTTGAGCTGGAGTTTTTACTCTTCGCGGGGACCGGCTTTGGAAAAGACTGAGGTGCCTCCACTTGTTGCGACTCTTTCCCAATGCAAGAGCTGGCAAAGACAGCGGCGTCCCTCCCCCCTCCAGCCCAGAAGTGTTTTGGCATGCATGGAAGCAAAGTTTTTAACAGATAAAATCTAGGATTCTTTAGTCACCCAAACAAAAAGGATGCCAGAAGAGCAAATACCGATGTATCAACTGAACGGAATGGAAGTCTTTTAAGGGGAACCAAACAGACTTGTGAAGTGGAAGTTTTCTGGAGTTTGCTTTTCTAGTTAAAAGCATATTTACAAACCATTATTTTAACATAAAATGTTTAGGGAAACTAGTGGGGCTTTGTTATTGTGTGTGTGTGTGTGTGGAGCATGAAATTAAAATACTGGAGTTTAAAAAAAGAAACTATGGATTTAGGATGCCTCTTTGGACCCTGTTACTCTGCTGAATCCACTCCATGTGAATGAAAACGGAGGCTGGCTTTCTCAAAAGCCTAATCAAAAGCAAACCTTTTTGTGAAATGCCAAGTCCCATGTACGAACCTTGTTTCCCTGCAAACTAACTTTTCCTTGTGATTTTTGTTCAGTTTCCAGCTGGCCTTGAGATTCGTGTTCTGCCCTGAAAGTGGTATTAAATTTCCTGCACATACCCTGAGTCGTGCAAGGTAAGTTTCTCTGGGTGAGTTTGCACATCTGGCAACCCACCCTGCCAAGAGTGGGGTTCGGTGCCAAGGTGGAAAGAACCCTTCCCTACAGCAGCATGGCCAGATAAAGATCAGAATCAGGTTATCCCCAGAACACACCCCACGAGGGTCCGTCTGGGCCAGTGTTCTGCTCACATGGTGAAGGCTGTGCAGAGCTCCTGAATAAACAAACATGGAAAACACACATTTTTGCATGACCTTTACACGTGCTGATTTATAAGTCCACTCCATAGTTAGAAATGATGCCTACATTTTAAATAGCAATGCAATGCACTTCTCCATAGTGTGACCCAGCACTGTTCAGGAGATAGCTACTGATTGAAGTTGATGGGTAACTGGCTTCAAGGTCCCTGCTTTCCCTTCTTAACTGTTCTTCATCTTTAAACCCAGCTTGGACGGGGCAGCCCTTCATAGAGAAGGCACCTTCACACTGAGGACTGCCCTCTGGCAGCCCTTCAGGTGTCCATCGTGTCATTTTCATCAGCAGGCCCCTCCTCTTGGAAGCCTGGTATGAGCGCGGAATCCAGTTGGCCATTGCTAGGCAACCCACTATGCGCCCTAGCAACGGCAACATCTCTTCCTCTCCATCACTAAGAAGTAACCCCTCAGGGAGAGGCTGGAGAACGGAGGCATCTGCTCGCCCAGATGAATGGTGAAGATGCAAGTGAAAGCACTGAGGATGAAGGCAAATTTCAGGGGGATAGTCGTGGATAAGTGTCTTCAGATGAAATATGGGGCCTCCGAAAATGGCGTGGCTATTAATTGACTTGCTCTGTCCAGTAGATACTTGTGTGTTCTTCTGACCCACCCTCCTGCAGACACACTCAAAACACAGAGGTTTAATTCATCATAAAATTAATTAGGAATTAGGAACCCAAAACTAGGGCAACTGACTTTCCCTGTATATTTTGATAAACTACCATATAAGGGGAAGTTGTATAAGGGCTCTCCACTGGCATGGTGAACCAGGACTGCACGTTCATGGTTGGACGAGTGGCATGCAAACTGTGCATGGGGACCTTTTGAAAGGCCTCTGTCCCTGGCATCCAGCCCTGTTTCTGCCCCGGCTGCATAGAAGGCCAGCCAAAGGAGTGCATTAAATATAAAATGTGATTTATTGCAGAACCATTCACTGCGTCAAGCTGCCATATTCCATGGTACACAAATAAAGCAACAGCAACTACTATCAACATAACTGTTTTGATTTGATATTAAATTAAATACTTTTAATTTGATATTAAATATTTTAATTTGATATTTAAAAGCTGGGCTTGGCCTTCAGTAAAACCTGATGCCATAATGACTTTGCCCTCATTTTCCAACTCATCCCTTCTCAGAAGTATCACTCTCATATTTGCCCTTCTGGAGATGAAGCAGCTCCTGTACCTATTTGAATAATTTCTTATTTATATATCTGGCCCCCTCCCACCCCGTTGGAAAAGCGACCCTAAAAGAACTGTTCCGGAGCTCATAAGACGGGTGATGAGTCTTTGCCAAATGCTGGGCATCTGTGAAGAGACAGACCCTTTGCCTAAAGCTTCCAGCCAATGGGGACTGCAAATAATGCATTTACAGTGGGGGCGAGGGGTTCGTCCTATAATCAGCTGCACTAATGTATATTAACTCTGCAAAGGATTCTTTAATGTTTGTTGTGAGACTGCTCTTTGGAGTTCATCTCCCCAGAGTTGTTTGGAGACTCCTAATTTTGTAAATATCAGACAAGCAGAAATTTGGCCTGGAAATTCTCCCTGGAAAACCTCCCTTCAGGTTCCAGGGAATGGTGGATGCTATATATTTTGGGCTATATATTTTACTGGTATTCTATCCAAATGCAAATCTCGGCCTCTCTGACGTACAGATTCTGCTTGCACAGACCTCTGGGCTGACCTATCTCGCTGTGCAGTTTGCACAAAATTTCATCGATGGGCTGCTTTTTTTCTTTTTGTCACAAGAGAAGGATGAATTATACTAACTAGAGACTCACCGCTCTATTTTGAGTAGCACTAATGTTAGGACGGGCAAACATTTGATCTCATGTCCCCCTTCTGTGTGTGCTGAGTTGCCATCCAAACACCATGGAAATTAAGCCCCTGGGCTGGGTGAGTGACAAAGAGATTAAGGTACTCCTTCAAGCTGGAATGACATTTTTTCATGCCCTGGGGGCAGAGCTGCTGGATTAAGACCTGACACTTATTTTAGGATACCATTTGCTTGTGTATGATGCCGAAGATGCCAGCTCTCATCCAGACTATTGGCAGGGGAACCTTTGCACTTAATCCTTTCCACAGGATCTCGCAGTTCAGGGTTTTTGCAAAGCTTTGCAGCTTTGCAGATCTTTGTAAAGAATGGCAGGTGTGTTGTGACAATTGGCAGGAGCACCACCAAGGTATTCTTGCTAGTCAATTCCCTGGGGCCAAAAAAAGTCAGGGAGGCAAACATTGTTCCCTCCCTTGTTGTCTGATATCCATACAGACAGCTGGTTTTCTCCAAGGGCCAAAGGTTGGCCAATTTACTTCCTTGTGTATTGCAGAACTTGTGCATTGCAAACTGAAGAGGTCCAGTGCAGGAGATGAAACATGGAGACTCAGCACTGAGCTTAGAATTCCCTTTAGTCTTACTTCCATTGCTACCTGTAAGAATTTAATTCAAAGCCACCTTTCTGAGAGCAAACTCTATTCATGCCTCTTTGTTATATAAATATTGGACTTTACACTCAGCTGGCATGCATAATTTTCTTTTTACTTCTTCACTGTCCTCTGAACATTTTTGATGACGTCCTTTTGTTTTCCTTTAATAATTTTCCCTGACAAAGATGTTCAATGCAAATGCCAGTGTTGGCAAACAAACCTAAGGTCCCGTGGAGCCCTGCAAAAGGTTCAGGAACTCTGCTGCAAACTGAACCTGCCAGTCCTCTTTGCTGAACTGGCTTTGTGTTTATTTTCGGTTTAATTGCAGCATTTCCAAGGAACTCGACCTTTTCAACCATCTGGTGGGGTAGAGTAGGCCAACAGGTGGGGCATTTTGCATGATGCATTTTTGTGTGTGCTGGGGATCCCTCACTCAGGGAAGTGTGTGGGTCCTGAACATACCCTGTCCTCCCAGGGACTCTCCCATATTCTCCGGCCATTGCTGTGGCTTCGTTTTGGAGTGCGGATAATGCAGTATTTTGCTGGATGACTCTATCATTGGCTGCCAAAGCCCCTTGAAAAGCTTGAATCCTGCTCTGCACCAGAGTGCCATCTTGTGTTGTGCAGTGGAATTTAGAGGAACATAAGGGAAGGCAGAGAGAGGAGTCCCCCACCAGGGGTGGGGGGAGTCTTGTGCAAAAGGCTTTCTTCCTGCAATAAAATGGAAGAGGTAGTCTTGGAGAGGCCCAGGTAAAGGAGGCTGTGAAGAATCCCCTGGTCGCTTGGTGGATGTCATCACTAAGCGGAGATTTGGAAGGATACGGAGAAAGGATAGAGCGAGTGAAGCACATGGTCTCCTTATGGTCTTCTGTAGGTTGGAGTGTACATTCGGGGGCTTTCCCCAGGGCCCAATGGAAAGATTCTAGTTTCTTCTGCACATGTCACCTCCTGCCCACCACGAACCCTGTAACCCACGACTCTGCTTGGCTTTCGCTAACTCCACCTGTTGCTGAAATTAAGCGTCACCAAGTACTTGTTGAGAGGTGCTTGGCAGAGAGATTTTGGTGGGCAGGCCAGAAACGAGGAGCATCAAACAGGAGGAGCTTTGACTCTCCCAGTTGCCTTTTCCTCCTCCAGAGTCTCTGTTTTGCTTGCCTTCATATTGATTTGGGCCAAAGCTGGAATGCTCCAGGGGGAAGCAGGCATGGGAAACACTGGTGGGGACTAAACCATGCACGGGGGCATTTCCAAGTTCTTTTGGTTGGTTGCTCTGTCCCTGGTCTCCTTGCCCAGTACTCCCGTGTCCACCTCTCCCTCTTTTGCCTCGGGCCCCGGCCAAGCCCTTCCCAGTGGTATTTTGGCACTGGGAAGCGAGCTGTTCACCCGGCTTGCTGCAGGCACTTGCTCATGATGGCTGGTCCTCAAGGGGCCATGACTTGGACTGAGCCAGAAGGGGTGGCTGCCTTGTTTCCTACATTGCTTGTATGGGAGTTCCAGACTGAAAACATATGCCTGGGGCTGGGTGACGCCCAGAAGAACTCGGGGGCATAAGGCAAGCTGGTGCAGGCCACTGGTCCAGTCGGTAAAACCTGGGCTGAATTCCCCAGATGCTACCTTGAAGCTTATTCCCACTTTTTCCATGTCGGTTGGCTAGATTTGCTTTCTTCTCATGCAAAAACCAGTGCGTATTTTTTTCAAATGTATGCATCAGTTGTACACATCTTTAAGATGTATGCACTTTCTACCATTGATTAAAGCATATTTGTGCACATTTCATGCACATTTGTCCAATGTACGCATACCATTGAATGCATTTGTTGGGCTCTGTGAACCAGGCTGCAAGTTCAGGAATACATGTGGATGCAGACTGGGGCCAAATTGGGTTCAGTCCACAAGGTACAAACTGGGTTTTCTTGGTCAAAAACCAACTGAACCAAATTTCTCATGCATCCTTAGGCATGCCTGGGGATGTTCAAACTGTAGCCCAACATATCTGGAGACCTCAGCCTGGGAAAGGCTGAGCTAACCTGTTACTTAATGCAACGAACATTCTGCCCAGGGTTTCCCAAGAACTTCTCCCTGCTTTTGAGTGATTCACTCCTGTAAAGTTTACTGAGTCCATGAGAAGAATCCCTGTCCTGAGGAGCTTGCAAGCTGACAGAGGGGCAAATGTTTGCACCCAGCTTTTTATCCCAGGGGAAGCTCAAATAACAACAGTGTACATTTCGGGAGGATGTACATGGAGGATTCATGAAACGTAGAATTATATCCATGTTGGCTTACCGATCCTTGAACCAGGCTGCTTGCTGTGGAAGGAATTTCGATGCAGCCCGA